ACGGCGAAGCACACAATTGTTTATCTGCCCAAGAGGAAGGAAACTTTCTAAGAGGATTTGACTTATATTCTTGTTCCACTTGTAAAAAAAGCCAGGAAAACTTCCATGCAACCAGCTTCGTTGGTCAGGATTTGAACCTGTGTGTCGAGCCAGCTGTGCTTAGCGATTTTAGATGCCTAGTGGGGATCCGGAATCTTATTCTTTAAAATCTTGTTTCGAAATCTTCTACCCCTAATTTAGTGTGATAAGTTGTTCGTAGTATGAGAGTTAGGGTTATTTAAATATAACAAAGCATATTACGAGAGCTTATGGGAAATTCGTGGAGCCCTTTCAGTGGGAAACTGGGTTACACATGTAGAATACACGAAAAACAAACAGGCAGGAATCCCGTCTCTGAGAAACAGAACTGATTATTTTCCTTTAATCTGAAATCTAAAACAAATAAAATAGAAAACAGCGCTTTTCGGGGGAGCTGTATTCAACATACGAAATTTATTTAAAATATGCTGTAAGCTTTTAAATGCAGTTTTTATACAAGCATATAGTAGTTTGCCTATGCTAACTGCCCCAGTGGATTGGCTGCCTCACTGTCAGTGGGGAAAAAGAAGCTTTAGCTTTTGTATGTAATTAACATGCTGACCAGCAGCTGATCCTGTATCATTTTCTATTAATTCATTAAATGAATATTGTATCATTAGATAAATTTTGCTTCTTCCAGTGCCAGTTACAAATTGTACAGCTGTTCAGTAACATTTGAACTATATCATTAACGTTGCATATTACTAAAATGTACTTGTTCTTTAAAGTCCTTGATCTGTTCTAAAAATAGTACCGCAGAAGTTTCAGAAATGAAGTACAATTTAAAGCTACTTAACATTTTTATGCATATAAAAAAGTTAAACTGTTTAAAATGCATATTGTTTTATTTGGAATAATATTTCAAAAATAAAATTTGTGTTGGTTACGACCCAAGCAATACTTAACTGGATAAAGAGCCGTAGTTTGATAATGCTAGGATCATGCATTCAGTTTTCGCCGTTTTAATAAAATCCATTATGATACTTATGCTGGTAATTATAAACTGCATTTACGAATACAGAAGTATGATTAATAATACACTAATATCACAGAATATACGCATTTTATGCTCTGACAAGTTTTATCAAGATACCAATTTTTAGTTCATACACAAGTCGTAAATTCCCTAGCCAGATTCCATTTTTATATAAATAGATGCATAAAGGACAAAATGGAACAGTTAATTATATTTTTTATTCTTTTACAAAATTTAATTCTTTTAGATATAAATTTTAATGGTAAACGATATTCTGCTAAGTTATAATATAAAAATTATTACTAATAATAATTTATATCCTAATTAATAATATTTATATCACTCAAAAACAGAATTGGAAAACTCATTCAAATCATATTTAAACATTTTACGCAGTTTAGTTTTGGGAAAAAAAAAGGAATTTTGGGGTTGTTTGATTTTTAAAGGTGAATTCAATCATTAAAATATTTTTACTGTGTTTCCTCATTGATATAAAATTAGCAAAATAATTTACTAAATAATTCTTAGATGTAATAGTATTCTTGTTTATCTTTTGTTATATGACTAAAAATAAATAAAAAAGTGGCTGGTATTCAATATTTATTTTTGTTTAATTATTTAATTACAAATACTTGGCTATTGGTACTTAAGACATAGTCTTTCCATGTTATCACTTTTCTATTAGTCCTTGAAATTATGTTAAGAACCTAATAGAATTCGGAAAATCCTATGATTGCATAAGACTGCGGGAGGTGCTAATAATGACAAATTTTTAAATGACAGTAGAAATTTATTTAAATAGACTACAATAGAATTTATTTAAATTTAATTAGAAAGAGAATTTTAAAGAAATTTATTTAAAATGACTATAATTCCATAGTACTATAATTTCAGTTAATTCATTATTATCTTAAATACTGCAATTTAGTCATATAATTTGTAAGTCCCACGATTTTAAATTTATGCATAAATGAGCAAATACATTTTGAAAGTTAAAATACGTATATGTTTTACAATTCATTTAACTGAAACTGTAAGAATCAGAAGGGATTTTTGTGCATGTCTGGCTTTATACATTTAATGTATAAAATGCAGAAAAGTGAGAAAATCTATCCAACACAGAGATATAGTTCTTTCTAGTCTGTGGTAAGATTGTATCAAATTCATTTAAACTTCCGTTTAAATTCGAAATGCTATCTCTTAAATAAACGAAGGAATACATTTTTGGTTTTAAATTTCACATTAGTAGCAACTGTATAATAGCTAAACTTACCAAAATATTTGTAGAAAACCGCCAAAATTCTAGAAATTGCTATAAAATCCCGAAAAACATTAGGAAGATTATTGCTTGCCAATTCCATGCTGAAACGATCAAGTGTTTACGAGGATGAGCTTGACTGTTAACGAACAACTTGTGGAAAACATTCAATGCTAAAATATAAATACATATGCCAAATTTTCCAAAAATTCCTGATAAATATTGTACTCTCATCGTAAATATATATGGACTTAAAATGTGATGAAAACTGAGTCGGTAAAAGAATGGATTAAAATTTAATTTCCCAAAATAAATTGGCCTACTAAAACTAAATAAAATAGATAAGTAAATAGTAAAAAAAAAAAAATGTGTAACAAAATAAATAATGATCTTTTTTAAAAGACTGCCCAATAAAACATGTCGAATAATTGAAAATTTACGAGCTTGGAAGCTAAAATTCTAAAAAGTTTTTGGAAAATTCGGACGTCACATATTAAAAGAAACAAGTCTACAAGCTACATGTACAAAGAAAGAAGAGAGACGAAACTAAACGCAACAAGTACTTCTTGCCATTTAATAGAGGGGAGGTAATTTTATGACTTATCCATCACACTACGGAGAAGCAAACATTCTGCCCTAGGCTGGGCCATCTTAGAGAGTTTTCAGAAAACGAAAGCGATTTTTTTTTTTTTTTTGGAGGGATTTGTTGACTGACAACACGGCCATTTTCAAAGCATTTCATTCTGAGGGGCGGGCTCATTAATGGGTGAAGACTTTATGTTTCATGCAATGGCAACATGTTAAGCTGAATGAAAGGTAAACAATTTTGATTCATAAATTTATGAATCAAAATTGTTTGAAACTTTAAACTTCCCGGTATGGTTCCGCTATGTAGACGATACTTTTACCCTGTTTGAAGGTATAAAGATGATTTAAATAAAGTTCTTTCAACAATAAATTCCATTGATCCTGCTACTCAGTTCACTTCTGAACTTGAGACTTGCAATTCTCTTCCGTTTCTCGACACTCTGGTCACACGTAACACATCCAACTTCAGTACTACGGTTTACCATAAACCTTCATCGGTTTGCCTTCCACCACACTTCAAATCATGTCATCCAACTAAACAAAAGTTAGCTTCATTTTATTCCTATGTTTTCCGTGCTCTTCAAGTTTGCTCCTCCAAAAACTAAATTATTTAAAAGCAACAGCTACTGACAGGGGCTTTTCACCCAACATTATTAATCAAACAGTTCAAAAATTCTCTCTCATTGATCCTGCTATTCAGTTCACTTTTGAACTTCAGACTTGCAATTTTCTCCCGTTTCTCGACATTCTGGCATCCGACCCCAACATTATTAATTAAGCAGTTAAAAAATTCTCATCTCAACACACTAAAATGCACACTCTTGTTTTAGAGATTATAAAAATTCTGTTGTTTCCCTTCTTTCTATCAATTAGCTATAAAGTTGCACGTATTTTGCAGACTTTCGGGTCGTTTATTCTCCCATCAATAAAATTCCAAGTTCCATACTCAAGGACCCCATTCCGGATACGAATTCCTGGGATATTTACAGGATTCCTTGCCAGTGTGGTTTCATTTACATTGGCCAAACTAAGAGAGCCTTAAAATTTCGCGTTAAGGAAATGAAGCGTTAAGGAGGCATATGTTAGAAAAAAGGAAAAACAGAAGTCTTCTGTTGCCCAACATTGTTGGTTCGAAAATCACACTTTCAATTTTTCTGCTGCCAAAATTATTCAAAAAATATCTTCCATTGGTGAATTGGATTTTATAGAGGCATTTCATATTCAAAAAATCTTTCTGTTCTAGTTAATGACCCTAATTCAAATCCAAATTTACCTTTAGCCATTAAAGAAATTATGTTTTAGTTCTAGTTTTATCAACAGATGGCGCCAGTAGCTTATCTCCTGTTCAGACGCTCTTATTTTATCTAATCATTATATCTTACCTTGCTCATTTACGCTTTTGCAGTTGAAAATGATGGTTCAGTGAAACCATCGAAACTAGTCCTGTGAAAAATTTGAAAATATAACGCTGATTTTTTGTTATTTGGCTTCTACATTAATTGGAGAAATATGCCAGAATTTCATAAGTATTACTTAAATTACTTTCATCATTTATTAATTTTAGATTAAGTTTTCATTTTAGCATAATATTTAAAAAAGAAGAATAATTTTTTTCTTATTTTTGAACAAAGCATGTGCGAACCCTTTAAAATTAATAACTATACTTCAATACAAAAAAATATTTCAGCATTTTTCAGCAGTCTAACACAGTATGTGTTTCTCAACACAATTTAGACAGTTACTGCTATATTGTAAATAACATGGCTCATATACATTGGGGGAGGGAGGCATTGATCAAACTAGTTCTTCCAACTAACATTTTGCCAGAGATATGATTTCTGTGAAGTTGAATTTTGCATTCCAAGAACATATAAAATTGACATATAAAACTTTCTTCACTGAGCAGCTGTAAGTTCAAAGGGAACATTGTAACAAATACACTTTTTTTTTTTATTGGATAAAAATTAAAGACCTTGGAAAATTCCATTTAAAAGTTATAGCCTCTCTAACAATTGCAAATATAACTTCCAATTATAAATTTTATAGGCTGATAATATTGTTTTGCATATAAATCAAATACGACATACAACAAAGACTTACATATGGTGCAGAACACATGTTCATCAACTGTCGAATTTCTTTAGCAATCATTCGAAGTTTTTCAAAATTCACCTAAATGTAAGATTTGAAGCAAAATTTATTTCATATTTAATAGCACTTTGTTCTGGAATAAAAATTATTTAAATAATACTGCAAATACTGTAAAGGCCCTTATTTTCGTGAAGCTTTAATTTTCACGAGCTCGTCATAATAGCGAAAGTTTAAGCCTCGCAAAATACTTTTTTTTTCGCCTCAAATAATAATAAAAAATCAGAAATTTTTTACTTACCCAAAATTTAATGATTTATTGCACAGTTACAAGCTTTTTTCTTGACAACTTTCTTTCTTATAACTACTTTTTAAATAATATACAACTATATTTCTCGAATATAAAAAAATTAAATTAATAAAAGGCAGCTCATTCACTTAGAATACTATTTATACCAGCTTCTTTGAAGCCATTCAAAATTATCTCGTGTTTAGTTTCAACACCGTTAAATACATGCACAAGCCAAGAAGCGTGAATTGGTTTTAGTTGTGATATTCGCAAGCCCACAGATTCTTTTTCCTCTAGAAATTGAATCTCATTAGAATACTACTCAATGAACTCATTCTTGAGCAAACGCTTGAACTCGCCATTTAGACGGAACAGGAGGGGGGGGGACGAAATTTTCGGACAAATGGAACTTTCTTAAAATGCTTTATGCAAAAGATGTACTTTTGGAATTTTTCAACTTTCTCAACTTTACTTAAGTACTTTTGAAATTTTTCAATTTTCGGTTCTATTTATATAAAATTCACGAAATTTTCAGCTCACCAAATCACCGATATATTCATTTTCGAGAAAATTTCGGCCCGCGAAAATAAGAGCCTTTACAGTATATGATATTTTCATAATAATCATTTACAGATTAAACCTTTTATTTCCTAAAACATACTATTAGCTTACAAAATCTCTTTTATTGGCACAATGTATGCATTAACAAGTTAAGCATTTATTTACGTACCCATCAAAAGCATAACGTGGCTGAAATCGGAACACGAGTCCTTATTACCTTGCATGATTATTTTCATTATTTAATATAATTAATTCTCAGTACAACTAATAATATATAACATTGTACCTTCCCAATAAGAATTTTTAACACTGCACGGAATAGAAAACTAAAATGGTGAAAACAAAAACATATTAATTTACTGTGTCCAACTTTATTTCAGTTTTATATATATAATTACAAAACATTTTTTAAAAACAAAATATAAATATGTCTAGTATTTTCATGCTTTAAGCTGCAGAAAATTATCATTAAACACATAAAGTAAGAAATTTAGAACTAATGTTTCCCAAAGACCAAAATTTTGAAATTCATAATTAATATATTTCAAATAATCTAATAAAGGCAACAAAGAATTTAATAAATGTAAAAAACCAAAACTTTTAAACATATACCACATAATTCAAAGTATTTTAAACTTTAGTGAAATTAAAAAACTTAAAAAACAAGGAAAAATTCAATTCAAACTTATACTTTTAAATAAACAGAATTGTATTTTGTTTAATAATATACACACTTACATTTAGTAAGTATTTTTAATGAAAGGAAATTTATACTTCAAAAAATTTCAGACAAATAAAAAATTGGCACTTCCTTAAAATAGCAGTCTCCGAACTTTAATCGCTAATCAATAACACGTAGCGAGGTAAAAGAACACATGGCAAGATTTTAACAAAATATCTCGGCTGATTAGTGATTCAGTCATGGGGGCCATTACAATAAAGAAGCACCAAAGATTTGAAGCCCTAAGAAAACAGAAATATCAATTCTGAAGAAAGAAACTGAATATCAATTCTGAAAATTTTAAAAGCTTTTTCAGAAACTTTTCTTTAACTGAATTCGGCCAAAAGGTATTTGGGAAATAGTAAATTTTTAAATAAAAATGGGAAATATGCACAAACAATGCTTTAAATTCCACAAAAGTTGAAAGCAACATTTATGAACAATTTTAAATAAACTTTCAATTAGATTTTGCTTGTCTTGTATAGAAATTTCCTTTCATGAAAATAATGTTACTTTCTTGTTTTTGAATATGTTAATAAATATTTTATTTGCTGTAAATGATTTATGATTTGAATACAGATTACAATTATATAACAGGATAAATATCATACTTTGGTCTATATAGTACAAATGAACAGAATCATGAAAAGACAAGTAAGACATAAAATAAAAACGTAATTATAAACAATATTATATTAATATCATTTCACTCACCAAGTTATCTACAAAAGTGTCATTTCCAAGATGGATAAATGTCAGATCTTTTTTCACAACTGGATAAAATGGTATCTGTACAAAACGCAAACACAAAAATTCAGATGTTATAGACATAAAATCCAACAAATATATTTAGAAGAAAATAATACAGAACTTTCAATTCTAAACAAATAAAAAGATTTCTTGTTTTAATTTTCCAGTTTTGCTCTGAAAAATTTAATAATTAATTTTTAATCTTATGTAAACTTACAAATAAATACATTAAAGTAAATAAATTTCTATATGCAAAGGTAAAAAAAAAAGGATGAGAAATCCTTCAAAACTATTCAGCAAACCACTTAAAATTACATTCCCTGGGGGGGGGGGAATATACTATCAAAACCATTTAGCAAACGAATGAAAATTACATTCAGGCGCAAAAGTTTACTATCAAAACCACTTAGCAAATAAATGGAAATTACATTTGGGAGGGGGAAGAATATACCTTGTAATGATTTATTGATAATGTATCAAAATCAAATTTATTTTCAAAATGCAAGAAAATTACAAAGTCACATTTACCTGTGAATTCTATTAAAAAATAATGAAGAATCCAATAAAAAATTTTAAAACTATAATTCATTTTTGAAAATATGAGGGGGAAATATTTAATAAATGTCAAATAATGCCAAAGAAACAGAAAAAAAGAAAAATTGAAACTGGTTATCTTATAGAAGTAAATTGGCTGTGATAATAATTTTGTAATTATTCAGGTAATGTCTTAATTCCAGAAAAGGAAAATGGCAAATTTACACATGGAGTAAAACATCCATGTACTGCAATTTCAGGTAGATAAGCTACGGCTTATACATGTTTAAAAGTTGAAAATTTGGGTCTGCAGTGTATCTGAAGGAATTTTATTTTTTATCTGTCTTTAAAACTTCTAGTCTAATCATAAGTCATGTACATGTGAGATGGTTTATGTAGAATTTGTTACATTGTAGCCTGATATGAGCACTCTGGTCGCACCTAAAGTAGTGCAATAAATTTGAATTCACGAGAAACTCACTTAACTGCAGTAGGTGGCACTGGTGTAGAGATACAGTAATGCAAGTATTTTCTGCTAAACTCCTTGGTTTTGTCTGTACGTTTTGATAATCACCCTTTTTTTCCTAACAGGCCACAGAAACTTTAACTTTGCCAAGTTCTGTCTGTACCAATTTCTTTGCATGTGTCTTGTTGCTTTGTGGCTTGCTTATTGCTTGCTTGTTGCAGCGCTTATTTTATTGTCTGCAACTGTTGAATTTTTTTTTAAAATTATTATCATTATAGCTCCTACTTGAAGAAAAAGCTATGCACAATGTTTTTTAGCTTTTGGTAGAAGAATGTGATGGAAATTGCATTGTAGCTTGAGAAATTAAAGTTGAAGAGAGGTGCATTCAGCAGTGGAAATCCAAACACAAGAATTAGAAAAAATTAAAAGATCGTGTTGAAATGGTATCACAGCCTGCCTGTTTTAGAAGGGAATCTATAGAAACAGACAACAGAGCACAGAGAAGGAATTATTAGAGTTAAAAGTCAGAATCCACCTCCAAGCAAAAGTAATTGCTCAATAAATAGGCATTAAAAACTTTGTTGGCAGACCTAATTGATATTTTAGATTTATGAAACAAGAGAAATTATCCGTCAGGCCTAAAACAGCTGATGGACAGAACTTTCCGCACACTGAATTGAAGAAAGATAGTTTTTTTGGAATATGCATCTAAGAAAATTTAAGAACAAAATTTGAATAGAAGTAAAATAATTAATATACATGAAAATCCCATTACTTTTGATTGTCCTCCGAGGAGAACTGTTCATTCAACAAATAAAAAAACTATTTCTGTATTAACAACCCTGAATGAAAAGACATTTTTATACTTGTGTTTTGTATTGTGTCGCCAATGGAGCGAAGTTAACCCCTTTGATAATTTTCAAAGCAAAAATTCTCTAAAGGGGTTATTATTTGCAGCAAAGAAAAAGGATGGATGTGAAAAGAAATGATGTTGCTCTGGCTGAGAGAAATTTATCAAAAAAGGAAGGTGCTTTTATCCAACCTTGGGAACTCAATGTTCTGGATTCAATACTATCCTATTTACTAGATACTGTAAACTTTAGTGATGCAATGCAGGCTTACAAAAATTTTACAGCCACTGGATCTCACCACCAACAGAATTTTCAAGCACAAACTACAAGAGCAGTGGGAGGAATGAATGCAAAGCTGACTTCATTTTTCACAAATTCCAGAGGGATGAGAAAAGCTTTGAATGAGCTTTTTGAAAAGCTTGTAGGTCCATAAAGCATGGCAATCAGTCTAAGCTGATATGATCATATCAACTTTCATTTAGTCAGAAATCATTGAAAAAGAAAATGAAACTGATGATAGCAATGTTAGAAGAAGTGATTTAGAACAGAATGCAGAAAATGATGTTGGTGATTTGTTACTTAATTCTGACATTAAAAAGTCATATTTTGAAGGTTTTACATAAATAAATGTAGTTTATTTTAATTAAAAAATTATGCTCGATTATTTACGTATTCATTTTTCAAAATATGGTGATTTTGCCCACCCCAATCTCCTAAAAAAGTCTACTGAAAATCAGCAGAGTTTGTTTTTGGCAAGTTCAAGGTAAGATGATTGTTTATTTTCATTTATTTACACATTACTTTTACAATTGTGTTGTAAATTTTATAAATAATAATTATACCAATATGGAAAGGAACTACTGAATAAATGAATAATAAGTGCTATGTTTTGGAATGCTTTGTTGTGGCATATATGAGGTGCAGTTTATCCAATGAACTTTCTTTTCATCAGTTATCATGTGTGAGGTGTATATGCTAGGGTGGCTTATCTACCCCACATTATGGTAATTTAGTTTCTTTGGGTGATAATGCTCCTGTGTAACAATGCAAACTGAGGTACAATTTATCTACTACATAATGAAAAACATAAACACAAATAACTTACAATTGGTGGCTGAGTATGTTCACTATTTAAAAGATTTCTATATTTACACATGTTTCGCGATGGATCCATCAGATCTTGCAAGTCCTGGAAAATATTTACATCACAACATGAAGGAAATGTTTTTTAAAGTTTTAAGTCACAAGTTTGTAAAGATTGTAATGCAAATGGACAAATATATACATTACAACAAGAGATCCAATTTATTTTAACATACTTTTAAAAAATATTCAACAAACAAACAATGAATAATTCCTTTTTCTATATGAGAAGCATGAAGTTAAAATTGGGCAAAAGCCCAACTTAAATTTGCCTTAATTTTCCAAGAAAGGCTCTGACTTTTCAAGCAAATCTGACACAAAGATATTTTCTTCCAGCAGTAACAGTAGGTTTTTCAATCAGAAGAGAAACCTGATTGAAATTGTCTTAAAATGCATAAAAAATGGCAATCTAAATTATATATAATCCTTAATTTTAAAGTTAGCAAACTTTTCTTACAGCAATTATATATTTTAAAATATATTATTACATATTACAAATTAAATTATATATTACATATTTTAAAAATATCAAAGTCAAAAATAAAAATGGACAGTTTCCAGATTCAAATTATATAAAACAATACATCAGTTTAATACATTACATGAAAGGAGAAAACAAAGGATATTTATTATTTTATTTGAAAATTAAGAACTAAGGTAACAGAATTTGTTAGTTAAAAATTATCTAAAAGGTAGCAACTTACTGAAAATATTTTTTGATACTTTGTTGGCAGTTTTTCCCATGTGCTTCTAAGCCTGGAGACAGCACCATGTCCCAAGCCACATAAAATTGCAAACATAGAATTGAAATTTTTGCATACTTTACATTGCCCTGTGAAAAAAATTATTCTGAATTAGTATACTATTAACAAAATTTTCTGAAATAAAACCAACAATTTCCTATATTGAAAATGTTATTTCAAGACATACAGATTCACTACTTATATTCAAAATGTTATTTCAAGACATAAAGATTCACTACTTATATTCAAAATGTTATTTCAAGACACAAACATTCACTACTTCAATATATTATATAAAAATATTTTATCACTACATATACAGTAATTTTATGCCTCTCTTAACTGTAGAAAAATAGCTGTGGATAATTTAACAGTAATACACACCTAACTCTCTTTTTGTGCAATTTAAATATATATATACAGTGAAACCTGGTTACAACAATATTTTAGGGACCAAATAAATATATTGTTGTAGAGAGGCATATTGTTACATCAGGGCCCACATATTTGAGCATTTAATAAGAATTTTTATTATTATTTTATTATTAGTTTAAGGTGCATAACATACTACTTTTAAGTCTATATTTAGAAGAAATTAATTTGTAAAATACTAATAATAGTGGTTTAAATACTAAAAAATAAATAATAAGATAAAATTCAGAAAATAAGCACAGAAATATTCACATACCTGAAAACACTTTTTATTGAAAACAATCCAATATTTTTGTTTGTTTATTGATTTTTTTAACTGTTAAGTTCACCAATACTGTATGCATTTGAGTCTAGTGCACGAAAAATGTTCTTCATTGTCGATGGAAGGCTTGAAAAAAATGTCCGTAGAGAATTCACAGATTGAAGAGCTTACTGGGATGACAATAAGGACTGCGATGGACCTGTATTATCATCATCATCAATATCATCATCATCATCATCTTCATCATTGTTTCCTATATCATCAGTAATTTCAGAGAGAATATCTTCATCAGTAACTCCTGCGAAAACCATAAGATCATCATCTGCTGTTAAATATTCTATACTAATCCCAAACTTTTTACCGCTTGTTTCCTCAAGTTGGGATACGGATTTTTTTATGTGCAAAACACATTCTTGATCATCTGAGAGATCATTGTCTATGGAATTTTCATCATTATCAGATTTCTTATCTTCCATAACACAAAGACCGGCCTTTTTCCAGCAATTCCGAATAGTTTTTCTGTTACTTTTACTTCCCAACAACTTCCAGCAATATTGTCACACGCTTCCTTGACATTTACAGCTTTGAAAGGGTCTTCTACTTTTTTTCAAAGTTTTATAAGTATGGAGTCCACCAACCGTTTTTCTGTAATATCCTTTGAAGCACTTAATTATGCCCATATCAAGAGGCTGTAAAATTGAAGTGCAATTGGCAGGGAAAAAAGCGATTTCGATATTTTGTAGCTTTGGAAATGACGTGTGAGCACCGCAGTTATCTATCAACAAAACGATTTTTTTCTTTCTCTTCTTCATTTCATTGTCTAACTTCTGTAACCATTCAGAAAAAAATTTAGAAGTCATCCAAGCCTTCTTATTTGCTTTATACCCCACGGGAAGACTTTTCAAGTTCTTAAAGCACCTTGGCTTCAATGATTTACCAATGACGAGAGGTTGTATTCTATGCGTTCCTGTGCTATTTGTACACAGAAGAACAGTCAGTCTCTGCTTTGATTTCTTCCCTCCATAACACTTTTTCACCCTTGAATGCCATGTTCGATCACGTAGGAGTTGGAAAAACACCCAGCTTCATCTGCATTATAAATGTCTTCTGGAGCATACTTTTCTAAGATTTCTTTCATCTTGTTTTGCCGCCATTCATTTGCGTCATTTATCGGGGCTGACTTTTTCTCTCCGTGAACTTCTTGGAAATTATTCCATGACGATCTCGAAAACGCATTAACCAACCATTGCTAGCTTTGAAAGTTTCGTTCCCTAGCATTGCTGCAAATTTCCGTGCTTTTGCACATAATAAAGATCCATTTATTGGGACATTTGTTTGCTCTCATCTCTTGAAACCATTTTAAAAACAGCAGCATCAATGTTTTCATTTTGTCGCAACTTTCAGTCGTTTTCGCTCTGGGTTAATTTCATTTGAAGTTACAGCATCTCGATTTGCTTTCTCTTCTTTAGGAATGTTGCAACTGTAGATTGCGATAATCCATGTTTCTTAGCCGCATCAACTTCTTCATTCCCTCATCAATATCATTGATAACGTTCAGTTTATCTCGAAAGATAGTTTGCTTTCGCCCTGCCATCTTAGGGAACAATATCGCGTGAAAGAAAGAAAAGTTTAAACCAAATGTTTCACATAGAACTCAAAATTGTTAAAGACTAAAACAAAAACAACACCTTGAACTCACTTTTCAGTACGTCACTTAACAACACCCTGCCTCCATCTCCCCCTGTTCCTCTAACAAAGGGCACTTGTTCTGTGACAAGGTGACCAGACAGGTCTAGATGTCCTTAAACCTTATCAGAATTCCAAAGCTTACTGGGAAATGAGACTAGGCATACATTTACACTCACCCCCCCTCCCCACTCCAATTCCCAAAGGTGGTCTTCATCTGTTTTGAAATCTGAACAATAGCTATTTATTCAGGGATATGTTGAATATCCACAATGAGTCTTAATAAGACGGAAAAAATAACAAAAGAAAATGAAAAAAAAAGCATTTGAAAATCAAAATATTATTATAAAGGGAGAAAATAATACTGAAATTTAGATTGAAAAAATCGTTTTACAGAGGTTTATTGTTCTAGAGAATATAGCAATATTGAGGGGAGATTAACATTAGTTTATGTGCAAAATCACCGGGACCACAAAACATTATTGTAGTAGAGGGAGTTATTGTTGTATCGGGTATCGTTGTAGCGAGAGTTTACTGTATATATATTTTGCCTGTACATATGCTTAAAAGATTATATTAAAGAAAAATGGTGTGAAGGAAACTTTTCAAAGAATGAAAGATATACAAAAGAAAAGTTGAATGTGTACATTTCCCAATATCTTTTAAAGTTCTGTGAGAAAAAAACATATAAACAATGACAAATTTTACCATGAAATGTTTGTCAAAACAAAACCATTTTATTAAAGCTTGTTATAAAACCTATAATAAGTTTATATATATAGTACTTACTACAGAAATATTGATTATATTATCTCGTAGATACATTCTACTTAACTTATATTAGAAGATAATATAATCAATGTTTCTTTATTAAATAAATTATTATTCCTTACTTTGCAGCTATTGCGCAAGTATTAGGAAATTTAATCCTAATACTTGCACAAGTATTAGGAAATAACTTAATTAATTATTAATTTAAGTATTAGGAAATCGATTTCGATGAATTTCAGTTCATTAATTCAATATATATATATATTCACTAAATTATGTAACATACTCATAAAGCATCCTATATATACTCACTTGCTACTTTAATAAACTGCTTAACAATTCTCATTCTTCTGATCAACTGATGTTCTGCACATACTTCCGTGACTACCCAAAACATCTCCCGATTAACCAGCTACAAGAAAATTCATTTAGAGCTATGTCTTTCTTAAAAGAAAGAAACAGAACAAAATACACTGTTATCAGGAAAAAATCCTCCGATTACAAAGTTTATTTTCCATAATTACAAACAGAAAATTATAATTAATACGTCATCGTAAAAGGAAAATGTTAGATTTTTAACTTGTAACATTGTCTTTTCACCACAGGTGAAAGCACTGCTGTCAATAAGCTGTTTTTGAAGTTTTGAAAAGAAGCGGAAATGGCATCTAAGCAGAAGAAGGCCTTTTTGTGTGCTCTCCTTTGCAAGAAGTCAGTTAGTAATCACTGTTCAGGATGAATTTAGGAGAAAGTACCATACAAATAAAACACCAACATTTCAAGAGTATAAGAAAGTTCCGGGAAACTGGATGCCAGAGTAAAGGCAAAGTCCACGGCGTCCAGGTGTTTCAGCACAGAATGCTGAAAGAGTGTGACAGACTTTTAGTCCAAAGAAATCAACGGTTCATACTAGTCATGAACATGGGATACCTCAGTCTACCATCTGGTTTGTGTTGAGAAAAAAACTGCCCCCTTACATATTGCAAAGCATTCAAGCACTGAAGCCAAGTGACGAGTTGCAACATCTAAACTACTGCCTTTTCATGGATGAAACTATGCAAGACAAACATGTTTGCAACCAACTCATATTTAGTGATAAAGTCACCTTGCATTTAAATGGGAAAGTAAACTGCCGTAACATGTGAATTTGGGAATTGGAAAATCCCCACGCCTACTTACATTGAAAAACTCCCCAAAAGTAAACATTTTTTGTGCAATATCTTCATCAAACCTTTACTAACCAATCTTTTTTTTGCCAAAAAAAAAAAAAAAAAAAAAAAAAAAAAAAAAAAAACAGTGGGTGGCATTAGAAATTCGGCTTTTCCCTCAGCTGAAGGAACATATGCAAAATTTCATTTTTCAACAAGATGGTGCATCATCCATTGGCATTTGAAGGTAAATTTCTAAACAGAGGATTATCATATCACTGGATTGGTAGCAGTACAGCTCAAGATTAGGTTCTACATAACTACCTCCTAGGTCACCTGATTTAACCCAATGCCACTTCTGTCTTTGGGCATATAGTATGTCAAAGATCTTGTGTTCATACCACCTTTGCCTACAAGGTTTTCCTGAACTTAAAAAAAATGCAATGCATTTACAAGCAGTTAATAGTAAAACATTACAATGTATTTGATTAGAAATATATATTGCATTGATATTATACGGGTGCAAACAGTTGTGAAAATAACATTTTCTCTTTACAATGACATATTATTTATAATTCTCTCTTTATAATTATGGAAAATATTGAAGTTCGTAATTGGATGATTCTTTCCTGATAACCATGTACATTAAAAAATTTTCAAATAGTACAGAAATAAAATAAAAGTGGATACAAATAGTTTCCTTGAACTTATTATTTTTCATTCTACTTAAAAGTCACCACTGCAGAGTAGTTAAAAATTTTCATAAAAGTTAAAATAAGAAAGCTCAAATTAAATCCTGCAATAAATATATCAATTAATAATCAATTAAAGTTAACAGATACTTTAATTGGTTATTTATAATGTTTTACTAATTCTGAAATATACCTCTGCAAACTTGGAAAGCTGAGGTGTTCCATATTTAGAAGAAACTTCAAATAAATCATCAATATATTCTGTGGGTTCAATTTGCCTAAATGTGCTAAAATCTTCAAGAGTTAATTGTGTGGCTACTTCTACGCTGTTTAGTTGTAAGAAGTGCACTTGACTTTCACGCAGAAGCTCCTAAAAGAAAATGGTTAAAAATAAATTCCCAAACTCAAAGGGTAAAAATTGCAGAAAACATTATCTAACAGAATATTAAATTTATAATTTAATTATATTAAATGATAATTTAATAACTTGTTCAAATATATAATGTTTAATTTTATTTATAAATACAGTCAAAAGTCTTTAATCCGGACTCGTCGGGACTTTGGCGATTCCGGATTATCGATTTTTCCGGATTATAGATCATCAGTTTAAATATGGCAAGATGGCATGCAGAAATTATAAAATTAAAAATATGAAACCGTAATTTATAAAATAATGAGCAATTATGATCTAAAAGGTGTCAAAATTTACAAAAAAAAGAAGCTTAATATTTATTTGTTTACTTTATTAAGCATTTCTTTCAACGCACGCATGCATACCTTACACATAGCCAAAATTAGAAAATTGCAACCAGAAAACTATTTGATTTGCATTCGTGATATTTATAATGACGAGGAATTTGATTTAAATCATATCAAAGACGGAGTACATCGAGATTAAATACTACATTTAGTAAGGAATTATAAGCCGAATAAAATAAAAACATCTGCCCTGAAGATAACGATAGTGCTCACAGATAAACTTCCAGTTCATTGCGCACCGCAACATATTCCCCCCCCTCCCCCGTGCAGAGCAGTGTGAAATTGATAAACAGATTTCGGAACGGTTAGATAAACAAAGGATATACCTTTATCCATTTTTTGTAGCAATTCATTTTTTGTTTGATGGACATCGAAACATACTTTGTTTTCTAGATCCTTTGGGAGCTCCAGCATCGGAAATTCTATTTGACATAATCGAAAGTTCAAGCTTACTTTTATAAAATTGCTCTTACAGTTTACAAAAAATAATAAGCCCGATCCAATTCGAAGATTAAGTAACAATGCAATTATCAACATTAACTGAAATAGATAATTAGATAATTTTAGCTTATACTGTCCGTTATACATTAAACGCGCACGCGAAAACGTATTCTGCGCTTGCGCAGACGCATATGTGCAGTCGTAAATGTCTTGCACGCATGCGTAAAACGCCTATGAGCATGCGTCAATGCAGCGCATGCGCAGAAAGATTTTAGCTTTGAGGTCCAGATTATAGATCATTCCGGATTATGGGTGTCCGAATTAACGACTTTTGACTGTACAGTAAACCCTCATTAACATGAATCTCAGGGAACTGAAAAATCAAGAGCTCACGTTAAAAAAATTTGTGTGAACTGGATAATATTTTCAGAATAATGTTTCCTATAGATTAATCATTTACAGTATATAGTTACATGACACTACAATATACAATGTACATCATTATAAAAAACACTACAGTACTGCATTAATTACCATACTGTAGCTTGAAAAAAATTCACTCACTGATCATCTACTTAACAGATGACAGTACTCAAGCATTTCGTAAAACTAGCATTCAGTTCGAATGTTGCAGCTAAACATTCTACAGTGTTCAAGGCAGGTTCACATTTCCTGGCGGGTGGACAAAATTATCTTGTCCTTCTCATTTTCTTTTGATGACATTTATTGTACCTCCAGACATATTTGCTTATACATCAGAATCCACTGGTGCACATATGGCAATGTCATCATCTGCACTAACAAACTCCTTAGACATTACATACTATTTAACATAGATATATAATTTAAAAACTATGCTATTGAAAATTGGATTTATTAGACCAGTAGACTCAAATGTTAAAAAAAAAATTATAATGGCAAAATTACATATTATCCTTTCAAATTAAATTCTGAAGCACAGTTGACATTTATGACATAAAAATCAGAAGATTTTTGTCTTGCAAAGAAATAAACTACATCATTTTATTAATTGCTGATATAAATCGTCATTTATGTGGCAAAAAAAACTACTTTCTGCCTGGTAATCAATTTTTAACAGTTAATGTTATTGATCAAGTAATATTAAAATATTATGTAAGCACTCAATAAAAAGCAATATTTCAGTATATCTACACACTTAAATAATTACCACAGTCTAGCTTAAGGTATCTAAAATTAAAATCAAAATCCAAAAGATATTTTAGAGGAAAAAGTCATTACTGTCTTTAAGAAATTTGTAACAATGCATATGCATAGCATTGTTTAAATGTTTAAAATAATTTCTCTTTTTAAATATAAAAGCAATATGAATAAATTTCAAAATTTCAGTTGAATTTAAAAATTGGACATATCTGTTTAAAGCAAACATCTAATACTTACACTCTATTTGCACAGAAGATGATTCAGAACATCCGTTGAAAATAACAATTTTATGATTAGGCAGAAGTATGTAACTATTAATCTTACATACTTACTCTTTCAAGAAAAACGTTTAACATAAAAAAAGTGATTTCCAAAATAACAGCTTAGACACTTTTCTATTTAAACAAATTCATAAATATAAAAAATCTGAAAGCTTTTAGATTTTACATAACGTCGAAAAGGACTCTTTTTTTTTTTTTTTTTTTTAAACATTTTGTGTGTTAACTTTATTTTATTAGATATCATGTTCTTCACACTTAAACCATAAAATTCAGTTCAACAGCAATATCACAAAATAATTTCAGAATGAGCATATCTTTAGAATTTCTGATACACAGTTTCCAGGGCTGGAGATAAAAATGTTTCCCCACACACAATGTTACCATTGCTCACTTTTAAATTGTTCAGTTTGTTAATCAAAAATTTGTTATAAAGTTTTACAAAATATGAAATAGATAATAAAACAAATTTTAAACTCCCTATTCGGGTGGAAATACATGTTATTCAAAATTTGATATCTCTAGGTAAAGTTGTTTTATCACAATGCGAGAAACACACATACATTTATGCAAATTCTTCATTATTTATAATATATTTGGTGGCAACAGTTTGAAAAGTGAACTGACATTTCAAAACAAAATGCCAAAATGAAATTACTAGTCCTTCTGGGCAAATTACCCCTTTGTAATAATATTCTTTTTAATTAAGAAGACTTAAAATATTAATAATTCTTACTTTGAAAATGAAAATTTGAATGCTTCTTAACAAAATCAAGAAAGTATATGCAGATGCCCAACACATACATATTCACACATATTCTAGTAGAAGATATTGAAAAATTTAAGGCATACTTGGACACAAGCATTAATAGATTTATAAAAATTCTTTTCTTAAAGTTAATAACTATAAAAGTACATAAAATTTACAATTTCTTTCATGTTTGTGTTTATTGAAATCTAACTTTTAAATGAAAAAAATGATTTTCATAAAGTTTCTGTTGTTCACAAATAAAGTAAAAAAATACAGTATATACTTACTGTGGCTAATTCATCCGGAACAAGCGGCTCGGTTGAAGCATTGTTTTTTAAATAATATCGACTATTTAGACCAATTCTTTCAGCTAAATTCTGAAGTTGATCCGGTAACCTACGCTGCTTTACTACTCCACCGTCTCCAACAGAAACTTCCCGTAATGAATAGTTGCTATTAAAAATATTTTTTATTTTTTTTTTTCAGTTTAAAAGTAAAATATACACAATATTATTGCTAAACACTTGATACTAAAACATTTAGTTATGTTAAAACTTACCTACTGGGATCTGTAATACCAAATTCTCGTAATGAAAGCATTACAACTTCTCGAGCAGTTGTTTCCTAGGAAATTAATTATATATTTATTATACCTAAACAAGATTATAATAAACATGCCCTAATTACTAAAGTTTTAAATTAACAGCTCCTAAAAAAGTGCTTACCCCCCAAACCGAATTTCAACATCTAACAGAATGTATCTTAAGCTTTCAGCATGTACTTGCCTTCCCCATCTTAAATACTCATTTTATGTCATTTAAAATTTAAAAACAACAGATGGAGTGCTGCATTTACTTGAAAATAAGATGACCCTTACATTTTAGGGTAAATGAAGAAAAATGCATATATTTAATGAGAACATGGTTCTGATTAGAATGAAAGATAAACTTCTAATAAAGTACAATATTTTAGTCTGATTTGGTTTGTTTTATTACAGCAAAGGAGTCAAGGGCTATCTGCCTAAGGGAACGGAGGCCTTTGAGGAAAACTTTCCAAGGAAAACTAACTCGTATACACATTATACAAGGGGGGAAAACATAAAATCACCTATCAGCCAACCCATTCACAGCCTGGACTGAATACCAGTGTTCAGCATCTTTCCCCCTTGTCTGCTGGTGTCTGATATTTAACAATAATTCAGAAAGAAAAAAATCAGTAAATTAGAGACATTTTGTTACCTATTTGTTTTCAGGCACACTAATAGCCATAATGATGAATTCATGCTTAAATTGAAATCACTCAAATAGTTATTATAATTAGTTGTAGTTCTGCAAATTATATATTATGGTAACTCCTGTGTGGTTTGTTTAGTATTTAAACAGTGTAATTATTATATGCAGCCCTCTCATTCTGTCATCCTGAAGTTTCATTTATTAAATATTTGATTATAAGTCTCTACTAAATTTTAGACGAAAATATACCAAATAAGGGAGGGAGGATCTTATTTTTGAGTAAATAAAGTATTTTTGATATACCTAAAATTAACATCCATATGTTAATACGCATTAGTAGTATTTCATGAGCAAAAGACATAAAAATAACTTCCTCTTGTAAGTTCTTGTTACTGCACAGAAGTATATATATATATATATACCATTAATCATCTTATGTAACTTAAATTGTAGCATACCTTTCCATCACAGATACAGGCATAAACCATTGTAAAATTAAGAAAGGTTTATGCATATACAGTCGAAAGTCATTAATCTGGACTCGTTGGGACTTCGGCAATTCCGGATTATAGATCATCAGTTTAAATCTGGTAAGATGGCATGCAGAAATTATAAAATTAAAAATATGAAACTGTAATTTATGAAATAAAGAACAATTATGATCTAAAGGTTATCAAAATTTACAAAAAAAAAAAAAGCTTAATATTTATTTGTTTACTTTATTAAACATTTCTTTCAATGTAAGTTGTTTAAGTTGCTTCGTTTTTTATGTGATAATACATTCTCTTTAATTCTATACACAGACATAATTTCTTGTTCAGTTACAAAGTTCCGCTGTTCAAGTCCCATAATTGCTGTGTCTACCGACTAATTTGTCAATTGAAATTTTTTCGTTTTCAATAACCTCTGTCACTTTCTTCACTATCTGAAGCGAATTATAATGACGAGGAATTTGATCTAAATCATATCAAAGACAGCAGTACATGGAGATGAAATACTACATTTAGGAAGGAATTATAAGCCAAATAAAATAAAAACATCTGCCCTGAAGATAAGGATAGTGCTGACAGATCAACTTCCAATTCATTGCGCACTGCGTTAAAGATAAACAAAGTTTAGATAAACAAACATTAAAGTTTAGATAAACAAAGAATATGCCTTTATCCATTTTTTGCAGCAATTCCACTTTTTGTTTAATGAACTTCGAAATATACTTTCGCTTTGTAGATCTTTCACATATTAATAAATATATATCAGAAATTCTATTCGACATAATCGAAAGTTCAAGCTTACTTTTATAAAACTGCTCTAACAGTCTGTAAAAAATAATAAGCCGGGATCCAATTTGAAGATTAAGGAACAACGCAATCTGCAACATTAACTGAAATAGATAATTAGATAATTTTTAGCTTAGCTTATACCGTCCGTTATACATTAAACGTGCACTTCGTAAACGTATTTTGCACACGCGCACAAGCATATTCGCATCCGTAAAGGTCTTATGCACACGCGTCAACGCAACGCATGCGCAGAAAGTTTGTAGCCTTGAGGTCCGGATTATGGGTGTCAATATAAACGACTTTTGACTGTATCTGTATATTACCTCACATACACTACAGCCTTATATTTACCAGTCTTAAATAAAGCAATGAAGTTCAGTTCATTCAAATTTTGAAAACTGCAAAACATATCAGAATATTATATATAATCCATGTTAATATCTTTCTTTACATCTAAGATAATATATAGTATGAAGAAATACACAAGAAGAGCACTCAGTCACTTTTTCTCAGGGGTGGTGTAAGTTTTCCATTTTTCAATGTTTTAATACCTGAAATTTTTTAAGATAATAAAAGCTAATTTATTTCACTTTAATTATTGTATTTTTCCATGCAAAAGACAAGAAGTTTTAGAACTTTTCTTAAATTCCAAGGATTGGCTTATATACGAATCCACTAATGTTGTTAAAATATGTAGGTACTTTTCTGTTAGCTAAGTGCAAACAATAAATTAACAAATACAGCACTTTTTTTTAATTCTTTAGTTTATACTTCTTATTTGATATTGGTAAAATTTTTACCCAGCTAATGAAACAATCACTTGCTGCCCTTTTTACTTCCTTGTACGAATTCAACGAAAATATCCATTTTGACAGCTATCGAATGCAATTTAACGATATTTTTGCGTGATATTTGTACGTACGGACAGACTAAAATACTCTTTTTCTCCAAAAAAAATTATAAAACTGGTTTAAAATGAATTCTGAAGAGAATTTTTCGTGGCATCTGTACAAACGTATGTATTTACGTATCTCGCATAACTCAAAAACGAGTAGCCTCAGAACGTTGAAATTTCGTATGTAGGACTGCTATAACATGTAGATGTGCACCTCGTATTTTGGTTGCAATTGGCTGCACCAAACGTATATAAATATATTTATATATATATCCACTCTGTTACCTGGCTCAGTAATCTCAGTTTCTCTACTCTTTTATGTTTGTAAATTGTACATTTTTTGCTTTAAAAATGATTGAATTATGTTTTTCTTATCTTCCAGTTGAGGTTTTTAAGCCTTTAGTAAATCTGTATGCAATATTTTTAGAATTATAAACAATTTTAAAGTTGTTTAAGTGCCGCTAAGCCTAATAATTTTTTTGATGGCGGCCATTGCTTGTTTACATTTGAAACAGGAGGATAGTGGATTTGTTACCAATCTAGAAAAACTTAGCTTCGCAACAACAAAGATAACGCCTTCATTTATTATTGCCAATTAAATCATGCTTAATCCTTTCTGGAATTTTTTTGAGGAAATAAGTGTTTAAGATTTACTTCATAATTTTTAATACAGATATTTTGAGTTTTTATGTATTTTTGCCTTGTCACGACGTGAGAACTGAATTAATTGAATGAGAAATACTCAATCGCCTGTGAAAAACTGTTTCTTTTTTGTTTTGCTTGCTTAATTTCTTTTAAACATCGTTCTAGCTTTATTATAGTATTTGAATAGAACATGTAGCAACGATTAGATAATTCTTTAAATGATATAAATTTTGTGCATTCTGAGTTATAATATGAATGAAATATAATACTGTTAAGTGAACCTAGCACCAGAGTGTTGCTATGGTAAACAAATAGAGTGAATTTTAAAGAATGCACTTATTCTATTGTGGTTTATGCGCTGTCGGCAAAGTAGATTTAATTCAATCCAATAAGTTTAAATGAAATGCAAGAAAAAATGCATATAATTTAATATTCCGTACAAGGAAGTCATGGTGTACTTATCAGATTTTTTATTTTGGAATCTCTGTTAATTTAACATATTTTTTTCACCCCTCTCAAACTTGTTTTTAATTTATGAAATGCCGAGCAGCGATACTGTTTTGGAATTTTCAGCAAGCGTGGTCACCAGTAGTTTGAAACTGCCATCTAAGAATTCTTCTTCTTAAACTTTCAGACAAGAAATAAAATGTTACAGATACCACAGATCATACGTAAGACAAAAAAATGACTGAAGAAAATGTCCTAGTTTCAGACAGAGGTTATCATACTTAAAACTATTGTCCTTGGCATTTTACTGTACAGGGATTTGATTGGAAAATATGTCATTTGTTTTCCTGCTTAGTAGTATTTTCACCCTCATGGTGACATGAACACAACTGCCCCCCTCCAATTTAGGTTTATGGGTTTGAGTTTTGGATAAATTTTCGAAGATAAAGTACACTCTCAGCTTATACATGGATCGGTTTATATTCAGCAATATATAGTATTTCCTTATTTATCTTGTGCTTATAGCACACAATTTGTTAAGTAAAAAAGAAAAGGGTAAAAGACTTACTTTGTGAACTAGAAGGAACTTAAAGGTTTGATCAGATTTATAAACTTTCAGGACATGCTCAGGATAGTCGAGAGTTAGTGGTTGTTCACTTAAGGCAGTAACTGATGAAAGATCTGGATTGCTGTGACTATGGTACAATGTTCCACCGCCAGTTCGGTGGGGCGAGGCAGTCCTTATGCCCAAACCTCCAGAACCACCACTACTACCACTGTGTATCGAATACAAACTATCATCAGAACTATTAAGTTGAGATTCACTGTAAATAAAGAACCAGATATGGGTAAACTGCACACAGGGATACATACCAGATGAAACATTTCATAATTTATTTGAACTACACAATAAGAAATATTTCTGGGTTCCGAAAAGTTCACACACTTCAATGTTGGCAAGCAGCTAAATCAAAATTAATTCGATATATTAAAAATCAAAAAAATATTTGCAGTTTAAGAAATTTTTTTAATGAGTACCAAATTATGATTCTAAAGCAATAAAACCTCATGAGAATATTAATAATGAATTTTTGACTTTGAAAACTTATGAATTACTTGTGTGAAAATTCTTGCAACATGCAAATGTAACAGAGTCAAAAATTAAAGACACTAATAAATTGCAAAAAAGCATCACTGAATGATATTTAACAGAAGAAAAAAAAGAAAAGAAAAAATTCAAACTCTATTTATTCTAATTTGTTTATTAACTAACCCCAGAATGCAAATTGTAAATGATTTAAACAAATCAAAGATTCTGATCAATTCTGAACACAAAATACATGCGTAAATTGAAAGCGCAAAGTATTCAAGTGTTTGAAAAGACTGGATGCTTAAAATGCCTTTTTTCTGTACACTGAATACATCAAGAAAATGAAGAAATTTCTTTTTTAAACTTATTTAATGAAAATTACTACATATTAAAAAATCGAAATATTTATTTATCTACACATCTTGCAATTTACTTCATAAATTGCAAGATGTGTAGATAAATAAAATAAAAATTATGTTTTGCAATTTACTTCATAAATTGCAAAACATAATTTTAATTGAAATAATTAAATAATCCTTTTAGCACTGAGATACATTTATTTGCCTAAAAATATTATTAGTTTATATTTCAAATAAAATTAAATAATGAAATTAATTTTATTTGTGAATTATTGCCACCTGTGTGAAACTTGCAATATTTATGGCTGTCAGATGGCATTACAGTATTTAATCTTTAGAAGAGAAATGTATCATCATCTGGAATAAAAGAATTTCTGTCGCACTTCAAATAGACTTAAAGTATCTTTAAAAAATGTGCTTCATTACTGCATTTTGAAAAAGAAATTTTAGTTTCTTTCATCAGAAACTGGTCATATCCATTCACAACCATTTCATTATCCTGATTTCTCATATTCTGGTACTATTGTTCTCTTTTCTTAAGATGGTTCTGTGCAATTAATATTTGCAGATAATTCAAGATGTCCAAAAGGCTGTCCATATGGTCTTTTAATTTTATTAATTGACTGCTTTTGTGTGGAATTTTTAGTGCATCACCATTTTGACTCAACTTTCATGCAGTAGCTTGGCAAAAAATTAATTGCCAGTAAATTCAAAACTTTTTTGTGGGGGTTCGGATAATCAGAAATTACTTATAAATATATTATAAAATGGTATTTCCTCAGCAAAATGACTATTGACTTTTGTCTTTGCTGACATTTGCATATTATAGATTTGATGATTTATAACAGCTATACGGATGGCCCCCCAACATGTGGTAGACTGTCCATATAGTTACATGAAACGAAGCATATTTTCTCATCTGCATTAAGTTTGCTAATTTTGGTAACTAAGCTATTTTATCAGTGAAGTATCTATCATTTAAATACATTTTAAATTATACAAAATAAGCATACTGTTAAAAAATAAAACTCAGAATTGTTAAAAAATTATATAGAAGTGCATTGTTTTTAATTGCCTAGTTTGTTAACTTTAGTTAACAAATCAAAATTCAAAAGATTTTGTATCACATTGAGAGGCAAAACTTTGGAAACTGCATCTTTGTGAGCCCACTTAAAAATTAATCAACTTTATTATATATTTCACATACAAAGGCAACATTTGCTATGGTATATTAATGAATAATACATGACAGTATAATATAATGCAACATAATGGCCAACAAGTTTTGAAAAGTTTCTATTAAAAATGTTTCTAACGCCAATAAAAATTTCTCATGCTTAATATATTTTTGTAAAGACCGTCAATAAAATGCAACAGGCCTAAAGAGTTTTAGTACACTTACTGGTTCAGTGTCTTTGGTATTATCATTTTTACGAGAGCTTTCTTGAGTTTAGCTCTGTGTCCTAGAGTCATAAATCCTTTTTTATCTTCTTTTTTCAAATCTCCACTGTTATTACTATTAGATCTGACTGCCTTTATGGGAGGAGAACTTGGTGTCTGAAAAATTGGGACAACACCAAGGGGATACCCGCTAACACCCAAAGGAAAGCCAATGTCTCCCCACTCCAGATGGGTTGATAACCTTGCTTGAGGATCGTGCTGAAGCCTAGCAATTTCGGAAGCTTTTCGACTCCTGGGTCGTGGAGAATTTTCTGGAGTATTTAGCATTTCTTTAAAACCTGTGGAAATTAATTTTAGTTCAGAACATAGAATATAATTAATTTTTTATATTTATTACAGAATATAACAGAAGCAATTTTTGCTCTTTAAAATATCACATTACATTATTTGACAATACTAAAAATTTACATTAAAATATGTGAAAACTTTTATATCTAGTTACCTAATAAATTAGACCTCACAGTGATGCAGAGGTGTGTTGTGCCTCTAAGGACTTCTAATGCACGTGCATGACTCATGTGCTCAAAACTTTGTCCATTTACTTCTAAAATCTGAAATATCATAATACACACACATACTATCATTTTTTTTTTATTTTAAAACAATATATATAACCAAAATATATAGGTAAAAATATGTAAAACAAAATTCTAACTTTATTTTGCAATAGTCTACGAAATTTCCATTTTGATTTGATTATTTCTTTGTCTTTATGTTCTAAAAATTGTAAACTGCTTACAATAAATTACTCTGAATTGCATCATTTTAAAATTAATTCTTCTCACATAATTCTTACACAATGCTATTTACACAGACATTACCATAACTCTTCAGCCAGTAATGATTTTAAAAAGTTATTATTAACCCATCACAATAAAATTTTAAAAAAAATCAAACAAAACCAAATCATCTCAAATCAAGATTTCATCTTGAACATGCAGCATTCTTTCTCTCACTTCACTAATGTCAACTTGTTGTTGCTTCTTTCTTCAAATATATTTTTAAATGTATAAGGTTTGATATGATTCCCCAAGAACAAGTTTTTATTGTGCCAATTCATCTATCTGTGTTGTCTTAAAAAAATGTTTGTTGACAAGAATAAAAAGATATTAAAAGTGACAATAGCACTAGCAATTTTCATGCAGCAAACTTTTTTGTGTATCTATATCATTAATTGCCAGATTATTTCAAATGAAATAAATTGCATGAAAAGTGCTAGTGCTACTGTCACTTTTAGCAGAGATTTCTTTATATAGATACATATATCAAAACACTCTTTTCAGTTTCAGCAGTGAAAATTTTATTAGTTAAAAAAAAAAAAGTATTGTCTATATTTTCTGGCACAGACTAAACCATCATTTTTAATTAGAATGTTAGTTAAAATTGTTCTTCTAAACATTACTATAGTAGTATGCTTGCTATGATTATTTTAATTATAAAACAAAGCACTAAATAATTTTACTTTGGTGTGACACACAACTTATTTACCAATATAAAAATATGCACAAGGCCACATCTTACAAATAATATCTAAAACTTATTTCAGCAGGTATTTCTTGTAATGCAGTACTCGTATACATACAATGTGTCAACTAAGTTCATAAAAATCAAAAACTGACGAAAACACATTTTTACTTTTTTTAGCCTTCAATATGTAATTCTTTTAAGTCTACATAACACTTGACGTGTAATACATGTTTGACTCTTTCACAGAACTCATCTTTTAGAATACTGTTAAAAATCTTCGACTGCAGTTTTCTGAATCACTTCAATGCTATCAAAATAATGACCTCTGAGGCAACATTTTGCTTTACAAAACAGAAAGTAATCAGCAGATGCCAAATCTTAGTCAACAAAGAGAGTGACAGAGAACTGAAATATTGTTTTTCTCTAGAAATTACTCATCATGAATGGAGCTGTATGATTATATAACAGAAAACAGTTATATATAACTTGGTTTTCAATGCCTAATGCACTGAATTCTCCTCACAATTGACCACAATGGAGTTCCATCTGCTCCTCAGGAAAAATTCTAATGAATTATTGCTTTCCAATAAGCAAACATTCCTCAACATGGTCACTACTTGAAATTTCTGCAGATATGGTATAAACTTTCTCCAACACAAGCAGATGTTTGTCATTTTATGTCAAGATCAAAAGCAAAGCAGCAAGCTTAATCTGCAGTAGCAATATCTTGGAAAAAAAAAAAATAAAATAAAAATAAAAAAAAAAAAAAAAAAATAAAGGTTAAGTGCCACTGCATATTGAAACTTCATTGCTATTTATTTTCTGTTCAGCTTTCCAAACACTGAAAACAGATATTCACTGGAACAAAGCGCACAATTAAATGCATAAAAGATTCTATCCATAGCAGATTATATTTTAGAAAGATCAAGATGAGACGTCATTGTAATAAATGTTATCAATTTTTATTTAGCAGATTGGTTAAAAAAATTAAGAGTACACATGTATTATTCTATCGCCTATAAAAGTTGGATGAAAGCCCACTTGAGTTAATTATTATTATTATTATTATTATTATTCCCTCTTAATTATTCCCCTTAATTCTGAAGGAACCGACACCTCTTTATCTAATAAACATCAGCATTCAACCTGTTTCATTTTTGTGCTTCATAAAAAAAAAGCTTTCATGAATTTCTACAACTTTGCTGGACTCTCTAATTTTACCAGGAGCTCCATTTAGAATGCTACAAGTACAAACTTCCCACAAGTAACTATTCCAATCTATTACTGTTTTGTCTGCCACATTCTGCTGACCACATCATGCCTACTAATGCACATTTTTCTTTTGGTATAATCCTATAACTTTGAATAAAATCCACTGTTTGTTTTTCTGCAGAAAGTAAATTCCAAATTTTAATTATATCCCCTCCTCCAAAAATGGAGGGAAATGACAGTTAATTCATACAAAAATATAACATGACTTATCCAAAGTCAATGAGGGTGACATTAAATGAAAGGTCAGACTTTCATTTAATGTATGTGTGTTGGTATGTCATGCTTATCCATAAGTGCTACTAAATAACACCACTTGTCACAATTCCCTGGCAAACAGATAATATTTAAGTAACAAAATCAGATGTAGATGCAATGTGTAATGCTGATATTACTGAAAAGCCATATCAAATATTTTTTCTGGATTATAACTTATAGCTGTTAACAAAGAATCAAAATTCAAAATTAATTTACCTGGTCACCTCTTTTCAGTCCAACCTCTTCTGCTTTGGACCCTTTGTCAACCTTAGACACAAAAACACCAAATCCTCTTTCATAGCCACCAAGGATATGAAAATGCAATACTTCATCTCGAGTTGATCTGGCCAAAGTGACGGTTCTGTTGCGAGCTTTAGTGGCACAGGCAATATTAAGCAGCCTCAGTTGGCTTTGCATTTTCTGCAATATATACAAAATTTTAATATTAAATGCTATAAGAAACTTATCTAAATGCATAAGGAAAATATCCAGAGCAATACTAAAAAATAAAAGTATTATTTGCATCGCTGTAATTTAAGATGCCTTTGTCCATCATAACTTCATCTTTGTGGAAGACGTGTAAATACAGTAAACCCTTGCCGAACATGGGGTTGTGTCATTCACATGTTGAACATATAGCAAATTCGCTTTCTGCACAGTTAACTTTCTTTGGGGGGGGTAGAAAGGGTTAGGTATAGTTTATATAAGTATTATATTTCATGAAAATGTAAATATGAATTATAATTAAGTGCAGTGTCTTATGTTGAACTGCTTCCAAAATGCTATTTTGTGCCATGCTTTCCTTCATTTAGTGCTTGTTTGCAGAAACATATAAATGCCTGATATAATATTTGAATATTTTTCTGATTCCTTGATCCACTGGTTGGATTAAAGAAGTGATACTCAATGGAAAGAATGAAATCTTTGCATTTGGATGCAATGTTGTGAGGGATTTATACTGTGTTCTGGAGCATTACCGAGAATTAGGAGAATCTTAAAACTCAAGTTTTGCTATGCAATGTGTGACTTCTTTAATGAATAAATTTTCAACTCGGTCATTAGAGAACCATCATAATACAACCGACAATCTGCAGCATATCACGTATAATTCAAATTCTTGCAATGAAAATGTTAAATGGAGACAATTAAGAGAACACATATACATAAAACTGAGTTCCAAAAATCTGTATTCGGTTAATGTTTACTGTAATGTGCATTTATGCACTTTCGTTGACGATGGACAATGAATGATGTTCAGCTCCCTTTTTTTGTTCCAGTAGGATTATTTCATTCCTATTGTAAATCTCAAGAATTACACATTTTGCACACTTTGTTCAACCTAACATAATAAATGATTTCATTAATAAAAAAAGCTGAGCCCTTAAGTTTTCTCTAATTGACTGCAATATCACAAAATGTTTTTATCATTGTTTATTAATGCAGTTTAAAATTTTAGGAAATAAGTTATATTATGATTTCAATGTATTAATGATATTTCACATAAGCATTAACCAATTTAGGAAGTGACAAATGACTGATTTAGGAGCTGAAAATTAATTGATATTAAATGAAAATGCAGGTGAATTTATGCAAACTGCAGCATGTTCATTCAAATATAACTGATCTTTTTATGTTCAGGATCAAAATTTAGGCTACTGCCAATATATATTTATATATATAATCCTTTAATTAATTTTAAGGGCCATTTTCATTTCAAAGTTGCATATTAGCCTTTTAGTGCGAAGAATTACGACTTTAACTACCAAATTTCTGTATTTTTTCCATTTCACTTGCTTTTGGCCAAATTAGAAAATTCTTTGCATTTCACCATTTTGTTTAAGTACTTACTTTTAAAAGCAACTAGTCTTGAACAAGGGCCATTTTAAAAGAGTTGCCTCTTTCTTCACCCTTCCTTCCCATTTGTTGCCCTTAAGTTTTTTCCCCACCACAAATAGGTACCATTGGCTGCTGCGATATTACGCTTAGTTTCTTCTTCTATGTCATCTCACCCAATTGGGGAATGTTAGCCCACTTTTCTATTCTGGTAGCACTCCATTTAACTTCAACTTTTTCTAGCAATCTTTTTTCAAATTTTAGCTTACTTTTATCTTAGAAGGCAGTCGTATCGGACACAGGTATGTCAGTCTTTTTCTTTTTCTGCAATAATTCTTTGCCTTTGGTCTTAACAAGACCCCTTTTAGTGTCATTTAAATTTCAATTATTTACATTTTAACAAAGCATTTATTTTCATTTTTACAAAATTTTTATTCTTTGATTTGATAGGGCCATCCCTTAAAATGATGTATATTTTTATGACTTGGCACCTTTTACGCTGTTTTTTTTAGATGTACATTTGCCAACACAGGCTATTAGTATAGGTTTTTCATACATCTGTTTTAAGATTAAAAATTTTTTTGCAAGGAAATTTTTCTTGATTTAATTTCGATTTTGTTCTTTAAATGCTTTTTTGAATCTAATTTCCTGGCACGACGAGAAAAGGAATGAAGCTATTGAGACTTAGCTAGAATAAGATAAATTAACTTAATAATTTTAATTATGAATTACCGCTTTCAGTCTCAATTGTTTTGTTCAATGAAACGTGCCATTTGTCATTAGCTAAATTGAAGATTTAAAGTCACTTTTTTTCTTGATAAGTCTGTCTGAAACCTCGAATTGAGCTAATTTACCTTTGTTTACAATTTTTTGTAAGTAATTTCTTTGTTTTTAAAATGTTTGTGATTTTTAAGCATACTAAATGTGATGCAGTAGTTTAAGTTTTTTTAAAAAAATTTAATTTCCAATTTTGTTTTTGTAGTTTATTTTATTTTTGTAGTTATTCAGGTAGATTGTTTCGCATATAATTAAACTGCTTAAGTTTAGTATAATTGTTTTTACTTGGTATTAAAAATAAGTTTTGGAATTGCAATATCAAATGTGCTTCAAAGCTTTAGCTCAGCTTGACTGAACCCTTCTTTGCGACCTATATATATATATATATATATACATATATATAAAAATTGTAGAAAGCTCGCCTAAAAGTTACCAAGAGCTGCTGCTCCAAAAGGTTAAATACGTTTTCAAAAATTAATACACATGAAAAGATTTTTAGGCTCATCAAAAATTATTTCTTTGGCAACAAATTACTTTTTGATCATAGTTGAATACAAATAATTTTTATTTACACAGATAAAAAGCTATGTCATTTCAGGCAGGGAAGCACAAGCAATGAGGAATTTTCATGGCAGAAAAGAAAGCGTAGTGCTCGTGACGCAGTATTTATACAAAGTACATACAGAAAGTACTCTAAGCTATGATTGGTTAATTTGAGGTTGTTATATAATCATGGAAGATTCTTGAATTTGGGAGAACAGATGAATTTATGGGGACAGCAGCAAATTTAGCATGTTAATTTTGAGGTCGCCATTTATTTTTTAAAGCAGCTATCATATTTTGTTATACCTTACATATATATATCAACAACTTTAGAAAAACTGGTCTGAGTACACTTATGAGCATTTTAAGAAAAATGTTTCTTAGAACTTACAACTGAAGATCATAAATACTAAATAATGTGCATTAAATCTTTCAAGACAGCATGCATTTGTTCAAGACATTCCTTGGGACAGTGGGGTGTCGAAAGGAATGCTCCTACTTTCTTTTTGATGGGTTTTTGCATTGCTAAGCCTCCCTTTAGGGGGGGGGGACATTAAAAAAGTTTTAAGTCCTAATACATCATCATTTTATATTATTACTTAAGCTATCATATATGTTAAAATTAGCATTTAATAGTCTTCTGTCTTTACTTTACATGAAAATGAATTTTAAAAAATTGCTTACTTTATAACTAATTTTTGGATGAGCTATTCAAATTATTCCTAAGTTTTAACTGATAAAACACATTCATAAACTTAAAAATTAATTTTTAAAAAGTATAAGGAAAACTATTTACAAAAAGAAGTAACAAAATCTTTCATTAGAAGTGGAAGGCAGGCACTCAGAGAACTCAATTTCTGACAATATGCCCAAATCAGAATCACTAGAAATACCACTTTATAAAATGAAACATCACTCTTATCCATGTCACTAAGAAGGCTCATTTACAGTGTGAGTACATCCTTCTGTAATAAATAATGCCTTCTCAACATAATAAACTAGAGTCAAGCCCTTCCAAAATAAAAATGGAAGCACAGGAAACATATCCGAAAGCAATGCAAAGTGTGACAGAACTCCACACAGTAACCCTAAAAGACCCTACAAAGTAGTGAAAAAAATTTTTAAAAAGGTGGTGGTGGTGGTGGTGGTGGTGGCGAATTTTATGGTGCATAACTTGGACAGCTTGTAAGTGCCAAACATACAATACTCAAAAACAAGCTACAGTTCAATCCACACATTAATTCTATGCAAGAACTTTGGCATTTCGCCAGAAGGTCTTGAGACTACAAGGAAATGTGGACAGATCTTAGGTTTATACACATATGCATTGGTACATATCTTTTTGTTAGATTATTCAAAGTTGGAAAGGACATGAGTACAGTCTGGGTTTTGAATCATATAAATATTTGGAGTTGCCATATTTGAAAGAAAAATGATTCAGGTCCAACTTCCCCACATACCGCAGAGCCCGACAAAGTAGCGCAGATTCCTGTGTTAGGGCTAGAGATGGACCTATATGCACACTAAAGCCCCACACGCAGGTTTCCCCAAAACAGGTACTCCTGAAAGCTTATCCTCAAGCTGTCGACACTAAGGTCAGAAGACCACCTGATTGACACCAGTGAGAAACACCACAGTGCCTTCCATTTAGCTGAAACAGAGGACAAGAGGACAAAGCAGTGTGTTGGGAACAGTACCTCACTCCTCAAGTAACAGGCTCATCCTTTCCAATGGCACGGGTCTCCACGCACGGCAAACACGTGGGCAGTTTCCTTGCCACTTGAATATAAGAGCTGTAATAGCATGTGATGATGAGCCTAAACCTCCGAAGAGGAAAAGCACAAAGGAAAGAAGGGAAGAAAAAGTTATAGATAAGAGGAGAGGAGATGGACAAGAGGATAAATCACTGGGGATCCAGATGATCCCCTGAAAGGAATGATACCTCAGAATTGGCACACCCACACTCGCAGAAAGTAAGCCCCTGAGTGCGAATAAAAAAAGGATTTGGAGGATCAGATATCAGAAATAGGGATCAGAATAGAGATCAGGGATATCAGAAACATGAATATTTATATCAGGTGGGGACTTAAAAGTCTTGTTTGTTTACATTATGCTTCCCTCCTCCCCTGATTGTTTCTCTCATTTCGAGAAGAAGGTCAAATCTATATGTATTTCAAATCCTATTGGCATGCAATGCCATCTGGTGACAAAAGTTATAGTTTTTAAAATCTTCCAAGACACAAGCATAAATGTATGATGGCCGGGGGTAAGTGAGAAAATGCTCTGGCACACAAATGTGCCAGCCAGGAAATGAGCGCATTTTGTGCTAGCACGTATGAGTAACAGTCACAGCGAAAGGGTTAATAAAAGAACAGAACAACAAACAATTAAAAAAAGAAAAAAGCAAGAAAGAAAAGAAAAAAACATCAAGGAATAAAGTTATTAATTAAAAATCTTTACCTATTCTTTGCATATATTTTTTATTCACTGATTGATTACATAAAATGCATGATATGTATTCATTATTCCACTGTTCTCAAATTGATGAATATATATTTGCTGCATGTAAAAATTATGTAAAATAAACTAACAATCAATTTTAAAGATCGGTTTAGATAAATTTGTAAAAATTTGAAGGAATGAAATTTGAAAATATTTTTTTAAGCAATGTTTCTTATCCTTCAAATAAAGTCATCAATAACAATGAAATTAGTTTCCAATTGCAATTCCAATATTTAAGGTCAATTTAATTAGATAAATTTGTAAAAATCTGAAGCGGTAAAATTTACAAAAAAAATTTATTTAAGCAATATTTCTTATCCTTCAAATAAAGACAACAATAACAATCATTTTAGTTTGTAATTGCAGCAGTACGAGTAAAGTTTCAAGACTGATATAATATGAATGTACAATTTATTCTTCTTTACTACACATTACTAAATATTTTATGAAGAGTAAGCTTATGTAATTTAACTGAAAAATAAACAAAATTTATCTTCACTCAGAGCAATATCAGTTTTTCAGTTACACTCATTTCTGTTTAAATTAAACATAAGAAAAATCCTGAAAATTCCTATGCCCTTTCTTTGGCATTGAGAAATGAATCCATATACTTGATTTTACTAACTACTTTACTATACTATATTTAATTGTTTCAACAGTTCAGTCACAGTAAAATAGTGAGAAAAATAATTTTTGAGAACTTGTATCTATTTACATTTAATTTATAGTTTTATGTATTTACATTTAATTTATAGTTTTATGTCAAGTTAAAAATGACAGTTTCATCACAATAAGTTTAAATAATTAATGGAAATTAATACTTACTTCTTTTTCTAACCCAGCCTCAAACTTCTCCAGAAATTCCATCATTTCAGGATCCGTTTCGAAATCTGTGAAATGGTTGTTGACCCACAAAAGGACCACTCTGGTAACCTTTAAAATATTGAAAAAAATTTTACTAGACAGAGCTGCTTGTTTGCAATATTTTGAAAATAAATGATAAAATCATTACAGAAACAGGAATTAGATCAGAATTGCATTTCAGGTGAATAAAATATTTATTATCAATGCAAAATCTTTAAAGTGAAAATATCTGATGTGGACAACACCTGACTTCCTTGGATGGCCTGTTCAATTACAAAAATTTTTTGTTGAACTTCATCTAAATTTATTTCCTTGAATTTCATCAAAGATAGATTTATAAATAAGATAGAGAAGTCAGTTGTCACTTCATGGCAAGGTATAAAAAATGAATCTTCAATAAAAATTGTAAAATACAGAAAAACCTAAAACACCAAACATGCTTCCCCCCCCTCCAAATTACAATTAGAATTTCTACACACACACACACACACACACACACACACAAAAAAAAAAAAAAAAATTATCAGATGGCAGGAAGACAAAATTTTCGGTGCAAAAAAACAGTTAACGTATGGTCACACTAGGCAAAAAGACTTTGAAGTTTGTGCACTAAATTAGTTCACTATTCTACTGTTTCAAATGTAACAAACGGCAGCCTGGTTAGGCTTACCTGCACTAATAAATTTTTATCATTTATAAATACTGTATGCAGATTAAGTTAAGACATAAAAACCTTAACTGCAACATAAGAACATCATAATTCAATCACTTTTGAAGCAAAAAATGCACAATTTACCAACATATAAGAATGAAACTGAGCTCATGGAGTAAGTAACAAAGTTTAATATATATGCATGTGGTAAGATTATCCAAATACAGAGCCTGAGATAGGTATAATCTAATCTACTTTATTTATGAATTTACTAAGATGGAATTAAAACATGAAATGAACATTAACGCTGGTAACAGATGAAACTCACATAAACAACATGACTACCCCACAAGGAATTTGAAAGTCCATGACAGACTTTGCATAATACTGAATAATTCTCGCACACTCAGTCTCTAACAGTCCTCGAAGATCCAACCATTACGGTATTCATCTTACAGGCACAGAAGCTCATGTTTCAAAAGAATGCATCTATTATCCTCCATGGCTAGCTTAAGTCAAGTATCGTCCACTTGGACCCAGAACAAAATCCTCAAAAGAAACCTTCTGTTCCTGATCAGGTTTGATATTCGTTTGCATCTAGGTGTCGTCTCCGCACCTCCACTGCGCTATGCTGGCGATAGATCACGTGTTGGACGACTCAACGTTGGTAGTTGATGAGTACACTCCCCATACATATATATGTGTGTGTACAATATAAAATAAGAAAATAAATCTAATAAATTACTAACTTAATTAGAAATAGCTCTTTAAACTTCTTCTTTACATTTTTATAAGTCTTCCTTCTAGCATTTGCAATGCATCCAAATTTCTCTCGACAGCATTATTTCTAGATATGACTTAATAATGCTGATGATAAAACTAATTTAGAACTTAAACAAAAACTTTCTCTTAATAAGCGACTTAAACCAAAACCTTCTCTTAGTGAGCTTGCATACTGGATAACTGTGCACTTTGCTTGTATCTCTATTCTTGCTAAGATGCTGCTTGAAGCTGTTCTTCATAATGCAACAACATACAAAATGTACCTGTTCTGAAGCAGGCACAATTAGTGTGCCAAGTAAATTGACCTGGAAAGTCAATTGAAATAAAAATTAATATTTAATCAGTTCCAAATGGCAAGCTTGCTTTTCAGTATGGATCAACATTCTACACCACCAATATTTCAAAGTCTGTTTTCATTACAATTTAGCCAACATGATTTGAAATCCATTGGGGTTTCCCCACACAGATTCAAAATGCATAAATACATATATAAACAATATTCTGATCACATGACTTACCTTATCCCTGAGATTTGCATCTGCAAACCACCTAAGAAGATTTTCTGTGATACTGAGAGGATTTGAAATAAATGTTCGATAGGTAAGTAGAAAATCTTCGACGTAACTCGGATCTAAAGCATTATCTTCAACCAAATGGGCCATTAATCGTTCAACAGTACCCTAAAAATATTTTATAATACATGATTATTGTTTGCAGAAGTAAGTTAATAGAATTTCACTCTCCATGAAAATACTTTTATTTTCATAGCTCAGTACACTATGAAGACTGTGTACATAGTGTAAGTAAATATTTTTACAACTAAGCCATTAACAATTAAATGAGCAAATTCTTAACAATTCCAACAATGTGTTTTTAATAGTATTTGAATTTTTCTTTTTCATTTATCATGATTTTAGATTGAGCTCAGGAACACATTAAAATTATTTCTGTGGTGATCTACAGGAAACAATGTACGGCATAATGAATCTTTTTTATAACAAATGCATAGCAGTCAACTTATATATGAAATATATACGAAATATGAAAAACTATGAGTTTCTAGAAGGTTTCTGTGCTGCACAGAGGCATCATTCTAAAAGAATTCTAAACTACTTTTAATTCACTTCATCAATAATGCATGATTCAGTTTACTGAACTATTTATTTCTTTGATGTAAAATGAATTAATATGTTTAATGTTTAAATGCTTTAAATTTTGTTATTAGGCTAATTTCATTGTAATTTACTTACACACTTATACTGAGAAATTTCTACGTAGAAAAGAAAAGTTTTAATTTATCACAGTACTTTTAATTAAAAAATTTATTAACCTTTTCACGACGGTGCACCTTTGTTTAAGACGCTCGTGCGGGATGGAAGGGAATCGAAGGCAGTCACTGTACAGGATGGAGGTTTTGCATTGCTAAGCCTAGTTTTATTTTAAAAAATCAGAAAAAAAAAGTTTTGCTTCTAGCATTGCAATTTTTGGTATCGTTTTAGATTATTACTTGAGCTCTTATATATATATTAAAATTAGCACTTAATAATGTTTTTTTTTCCTTTATTTTACATGAAAATATATTAAAAATTGTTTATCTTGTAAAATAATTTTTGGAAGTGCTATTCAAATTATTCCAGAGTTTTAAATGATAAACTCCATCAATAAAGTTTAAAATTGATAAAACAACACAATAAAGACTATTTACAGTAAGAAGTAACAAAATTTAAAATGAAGACTGAGTGTGGTAAATCTCAAAGCATGGAGAAGTATCACTTTCTAACTCTCAGAAAAAGTATCACTTTATAACTCTTTAGAAAATGAATTATCACTCACATCTGTGTTAATAAATGGTTCATTGACCATACGAGGGTATTCTGCCTCTGATAAATAGTGCCTTCCCGCCATAATAGACTGGAGGTGAGGCTTTCCGAAATAAAAAGAGAAGAAATGAAAATAAAGGCAATGCAAAACGTAACAATACTCCACATACTAATCCTAAAAGAACATACATAGTAAAGGAAAAAATAGAATAAAAAGGAATTGGATAAAAATCAGACACGCGAATGTTTTGATTAGCACGCAGCGATTTAAAGAGCTCACCTCTGTTTATGCTTTCCCCTCCCCCCCATCCTCGCAACAGCTGATGAGTAAAATACCTAAGTCAAGCAGAATATATCAAACTCAAGGTCAGAAACCTAAAACTGTGTTCATTTCAAAAGTAATGGACATAGGATGCAATCTAGTGGCCTTCCTAAAAACGTTCCAGCTTAAAATGCGTATACGCATCACCTGTCCTCTGAATGCAATCTCTAGTGATGCGTGGATGGGACACCCAGCTGTAACAGATGTTCTTAGGGAATGCGTATATGGGATGCCCGTCCTGAAAGGGTTAATAATTTTAAAAAATAATTAATTCAAAAAATTAATAATTAATTGATTCAAAGTTGTGGGTTTTAATTTGTTAACGTTAATCCAACTTGATAAAATCCATAATTGAGAATTTCTTCTATATTTGGGGGGAGGGGGGGACTTAGAAGTTGGCTTAGCTTACTTGTGTTAAATTTAAATGATATGTATAAAAACAGAATGAAATACAGTCAAAAGTCTTTAATCCGGACTCGTCGGAACTTCGGCGATTCCGAATTATCAATTTTTCCGGATTATAGATCATCAGTTAAAATCTGGTAAGATGGCATGCAGAAATTTTAAAATTAAAAATATGAAACCCTAATTTGTGAAATAAAGAGCAATTATGATCTAAAGGGTATCAAAATTTACAACAAAAAAAGCTTAATATTTATTTATTTACTTTATTAAACATTTCTTTCAATGCACGCATGCATAAAGCATACATTACGCATAGTCAAAATTAGAAAATTGCAACCAGAAAACTATTTGATGAGTACTCGTGATATTTATAATGACGAGGAATTTCATTTAAATCATATCAAAGACGGAATAGATCGAGATGAAATACTAAATTTAGTAAGGAATTATAAGCTGAATAAAATAAAAACATCTGCTCTGAAGATAAGGATAGCGCTGACAGATCAACTTCCAGTTCATTGCACGCCACGACGCATTATGCGTTGACGCATGTGCAGAAAGTTGTAGCTTTGAGGTCCGGATTATGGGTGTCCGGATTAACGACTTTAGACTGTATACATCTAGAGTTCACTGTGTAAAAACAGAATTAAGTGTACATCTGCATGCAAGAAGGTGGATCTGTTTGCATAAGATGTACTAAACAATGTTGAGACCTTAATAACTGATAAAAACTCAACAGCCGAAATTATTCAGTTACAAAGAATTAAAAATTAATACAGCATTTTAAGACCATTCTAAACCAACTTATCACAAAAAAGAGGAAGGAAACGCTTACTGTTAATAATTGCTTATATATTACATTTCATACAACTGAAAACAATTTTTAAAATGAAAAATTTCATTCAATTAGACTAAATTATTTTCCCAATAGTAATACGCAATTTGTTTTATACAGCAAAAATAAATAAATAAATAAAACCATACAGATAAATAAGATTATCAAGAGAACTTAGCACTAATTTAAAACACTAAGTAGTAAGCGCAGGTAACCGTGCTACGCCCGAGGCTATAGGGGGCGTGGCCTCCGCCATCTTGGATTACGTAACAACCGAAAGTGACGATACCAGCGCCATCTTGGATTCCTTCCCGCGTTGGAATGACATCATCAAAGTTTCGTGGTGTGGCAACGATCTTTTCAAAGTTTTTATTTTTGTGGCAACGACACTATTTTTCAAAGTTTTTATTTTTTGTGGCATCGAATATATATTTTTAGATTTTGTGGCAACGAACTCTTGAACCACGTGTTTGGAATGACATCTCTTTTAATTTATTATTTTTAATTATTTGACACATGATTAATATTAGTTTGATATTTGATTAATATTAATACTATTTTGTATGTCATTAATTTTACTTATTTACTCTTTTTAATAAGTATCTTAATTATTTAGTACATCATTATTTAATTAATTACTTTTAATGAATTTTTGTGGAAATTAATATTATTTTCCCTGAATTTTAAAAGTAACTCCACGGCTGAGATTCGAACTCGCTATCTCTGGGATGGGAGTCTAGCGCTTTACCGCTCGGCTACCCGGTCCTCTTATCAGACTTGTTATTTGAAACCCTCTTTGGCCCTTTTTGACTTTTTGCACCATTGATGACATAAGGCTGAAAGTCTGAGATCTTCATGCGCTTCGATTTCATTTGTTTTTACACGACGGCTAGGATTTCTTTTGGCTTCTTAATCATTACTTTTATTCATTGCTGTTTTTAAATGTAAGATTTTCCCACAGTTTAATTTTTTTTTTATTATTAAGATATTTTTAATTGTTTTCATTTTCATCTTATTCTTACTATTTTTTTAGTTAATTTATTAATTTTTGATTTCATTTTTTTTCCCCTTTCCCAAACATAAATTTTATTTTTAACTTTCGCAAATTGACGTTTACTTCCCCAAAAGTGAACTTAAATTTTCTTTTTACTTTTTATCTTGCAAGTGTTTTTTTTTTTATATTTAATTTTCTTTTGGTTTTACAAAAGTAATATTTATTTTTACGAATTGGAATTTTTCCTTTCACTTTTTATTTTGCAAAAGTTTTTTTTTCTTCAAAAATTTATTCCTTTTTGTATTTTTACTTTACTTTTTTAATTTTTTTTTTTTTTTTTTTTTTTTTTTTTTTTTTTTTTTTGGTTTTACAAAATTAACATTTATTTTTACAAATTTAATTTTCCTTTCTGCTTTTTATTTAAAAAAAAAAAGGGGTGTTACTATATTTTTAACTTAATTTTTTACAAAAGTAATATTTAGTTTTGTTGTTTAATTTTTAATTTTTGTTTTGAGTTTTTTGTGTTTACACAAATGCAGTTTTGTTTTTTCCCTTATGCATTTTACTTCCAAAAGTAAATTTTTTTTTTTTTCCCTTTCCCTTAATTTTTTTTGTTACATTTTTATTTTACCCTTAATTATTTTTCCCCCTTGTTTTAGTAATGTATCACAACTATGTAGGAGTCATTTGTCAGGTATGATAAATTAAATTTCGTTCTCAAAAGGCTGTAAGAGTTCAGTGCTAAATAAATTATTGACAATGTGAAATATGGGTCTTTTTCAGTTAAGTTACAATAAATACGTTAAAAATATTCCAAGTTAACAAATTTTTATATTCTAAATTGGGAAAAAGGCAATAAAGTTTCATTTCCATGGCTGAATATTAATTCCATGTGTATTATAGACATTAAGTTCTCCTTCACAAAATGTGACTATAATTCAAATTTAAAATAATACGACACAATGTGGATATTCTTCTCTGTAGTTAAAATATAATTCAATCTTCTGTACCTTGTTAAGAGAGTTAGGCTGTGATAAGTTGAAATAGAGTAGTGTTTATAAAGTTCTGCGGTAAATGGTGGAATCATATTAAGAATCCGAGTGACGTTTTCACATGAAGGAAAAATCAAGGTTTCAGTGTATGTTTGGTGATTTAAGTAGGATATGTGCAAGAAAATACAAGATATTTTGTAAAATATTTCAAAGAGTTAGCAAAATTTGTGTTAGTAGTATAAATGAATCTTACTGAATAAAGGGAGTGTTCTGAATATATATGTATAAATGTCTGTAGAGTAAAATAAGAAGAAATGAAGTACTATTGGTATGTATCTAAACTTAACTGGGTAGAAATGCTCCATGCATTGGTTTGAGTGGCTTTATACCATGAAAATTTATTGCTCCTTATAAGATTTATTTAAAGACAGTAGGTCTTACAATAAAGAAACATGTGTAAGTCTGTATTTATTATGGGGAAAAGGAATCAGAAATACAACATGAATATGTTTTATAAGTTAAATATAAGGGTAAATGTGTAAATGGAAAGTGTAAAAATTACATTTGTCAGACATAGATTGGTGAATCCTTTGAATGAAAGTAAGACCTGTAAAAGGGAATCAACAAAGTTTTGTATAGTTAGTAAAATACATTAGAAGGAAAAGTTCTGAGTATCTCCAAATTAGTAGTAAAAAGTAAGAAATGTAGTATTCCAGTTAAACTGTATAGAAAGAGCATTGTGTATATTGGCTTAATGTTACAGAAAATATTATCTAGTGAAGTTATCTGCATGTAAATTCCAGCTTAAAATTTCAAAGACGGAGAAATGTAGGTAAGTTTACTTTTGGAGAAATGGAAGTGTAACATGATGTTGTATTTAAAACAAGGGGGAAAAATAATTAAGGGTAAAATAAAAATGTAACAAAAAAAAATTAAGGGAAAGGGAAAAAAAATAAAATTTACTTTTGGAAGTAAAATGCATAAGGGAAAAAAACAAAACTGCATTTGTGTAAACAAAAAACTCAAAAAATTAAAATTATGAAACTAAATATTACTTTTGTAAAAAATTATGTTAAAAATGTAGTAACAACACCTTTTTTTTTTAAATAAAAAGCGGAAAGGAAAATTAAATTTGTAAAAATAAATGTTAATTTTGTAAAACCAAAAAAAAAAAAAAAAAGTTTAAACAAAAAATTAAAATAAAGTAAAGTAAAAATACGAAAAGGAATAAATTTTGGAAAAAAAAAAAAAACTTTTGCATAATAAAAAAGTGAAAAGGAAAAATTCAATTCGTAAAAATAAATATTACTTTTGTAAAACCAAAAAGAAAATTAAATATAAAAAATAAACTTTGCAAGATAAAAAGTAAAAAGAAAATTTAAGTTCACTTTTGTGGAAGTAAACGTCAATTTGCGAAAGTTAAAAATAAAATTTATGTTTGGGAAAGGGGAAAAAAATGAAATCAAAAATTAATAAATTAACTAAAAAAATAGTAAGAATAAGATGAAAAATGAAAACAATTAAAAATATCTTAATAATAAAAAAAAAATTAAACTGTGGGAAAATCTTACATTTAAAACAGCAATGAATAAAGTAATGATTAAGAAGCCAAAAGAAATCCTAGCCGTCGTGTAAAAACAAATGAAGCGCATGCTCAGACTTTCAGCCTTATGTCATCAATGGTGCAAAAAGTCAAAGGGCCAAAGAGGGTTTCAAATAACAAGTCTGATAAGAGGACCGGGTAGCCGAGCGGTAAAGCGCTAGACTCCCATCCCAAAGATAGCGAGTTCGAATCTCAGCCGTGGAGTTACTTTTAAAATTCAGGGAAAATAATATTAATTTCCACAAAAATTCATTAAAAGTGATTAATTAAATAATGACGTACTAAATAATTAAGATACTTATTAAAAAGAGTAAATAAGTAAAATTAATGACATACAAAATAGTATTAATATTAATCAAATATCAAACTAATATTAATCACGTGTCAAATAATTTAAAATAATAAATTAAGAGATGATGTCATTCCAAACACGTGGTTCAAGAGTTCGTTGCCACAAAACCTAAAAATATATATTCGATGCACAAAAAATAAAAACTTTGAAAAATAGTGTCGTTGCCACAAAAATAAAAACTTTGAAAAGATCGTTGCCACACCACGAAACTTTGATGATGTCATTCCAACGCGGGAAGGAATCCAAGATGGCGCTGGTATCGTCACTTTCGGTTGTTACGTAATCCAAGATGGCGGAGGCCACGCCCCTATAGCCTCGGGCGTAGCACGGTTACCTGCGCTTACTACTACAGTATCAAATGAAAGACTAATTTTGTCAAATATTTTCTTACCCTTATGACAATGTGTCCTCTTCGACTTCCACCATCAAGAACCCTATGTTCAGTGACTAGTACAACCTCACCATCTTCTTCATGCTTCCTGGTATTTTCTTCACCTTGATGCAGAATTCTATAGTAATCACTTTGTGCAATGCAGACAAATTGGCAGTCATCGACTTTTGTTCGCATGACACCTTGATGATACATTTTTTCTGTTGTTGGAGTGATGCCAAAACTGAAAAAGCAACACATCATTGAAGATGCTGTTACACATCAGATTTATACTGTTCATAAAGAACAAAAATATGATTATCAGGAAGTTATTCAGTGATCAGCATACTGAAGAAAACTATTAAGAAGTGAATTATTATAATGGTATATCACATTTAAATTATAGCAGAACCATTACTTTGTATTATACACTATGAATCAAAAGGAATCATTTTCCTCATCTCCTGCTATAGGAGTTCTCCGCGATATCCTTTTATCAACAGTGACACTGCTTAACCGGTATAGCGGTTAGTTACGCGGGTTGCCATATCAACGAGCCTGGGTTTCAACCCCAGAAAAGACATAGATACTAAAGAAGAGAGGCGGGAGACTACTGGACCAAACTCAGGGTGTTCTCTCTCAAAACTGGGGCAGAGTTGCACAGTTAGTGCAGTGAAACTATACTTATATACCAATGGTGAATTTCTGCAGTTCTTCTCAATTTTACCAGCACCTATCAACACAACCACATTTTTAGATTATTTGTTCCAAGACCAAAGACCAAAAAATTACCAACTTTTCTTATTTAATTGTTTTAATTTGCATTCTGTTTCAAGACTGATTTCCTGGTTTATACTTCATGTGTCTGATTTTAATTTCTTCATGTTACATAGTTAGTCACTTTTAATACCTTTATATTCTATTCTATTATGTATTATATTCTATTCTATTATGTCACTTTTAATACCTTTATATTCTATTCTATTATGTGTGATAGTAAGATAAAAAAAAAAGCTGATGTGTACACTGCATGACTTCCTTGTACGGAATATTAAATTATATACAATTTTTCCTGCATTTCATTTAAACTTATTTCCTTGAATTTCATTAGAGATACATTTCTCATTCAATTAATTCATTTCTCATTTTGCAACAAGGCAAAAATACATAAAAACTCAAAATATTTTCATTAAAAATTGAAAGATACAGAGAAACATAAAACACCAATTACAGTTAAGACAATTAAAAAAACAAATTTTACAATTAAAATTACAGTTTCTGTGCAAAAATAAGCAATTTAGCCAGCCGGCAAGAAGGCAGAATTTTCAGTGCCCAAAACTAAAACTTTCCTTTCGGTCCCACCTCAGCAAAAAGACACTTGAAGGTGCAGAAAGTATTAATACACTATTCTGCCAAGTTTCAAATGTAAACAAATATGGCTGCTATAGTAAAAAAAAATTATGCTTAGGCACAACTAACCAACTTTTATATTGTTGATAATTTTACAAATAATGCATGCAGATTTACTAAAGGTACAAATACCTTAACCAGATGATAAGAACAACATAATATTAAGACACAATAACACACTGAACAAATACTAATTCAGAAGTCAAACAACAAAAACCAGCATCATATTTTCAAATTTTCACAGGACTAGTTTCGATGGTTTTACCGAACCATCATCCTCAGCTGCAAAGGCGCAAATGAACGAGATAGGATATAATGATTAGATTAGATAAGAAAGCCTGGACAGAGAAAATAAGCTAGTAGCGCCATCTGTTGATGAAACCAGAAGTAAAACATAATTTCTTTAAAAGCCGAAGGCAAAGATGGATTGGAATTAGGATAGTTAACTAGAACAGAAAGATTTTTTTGAATGTGAAATGCCTCTAGAAAATCCAGTTCTCCAATGGAAGATGTTTTTTTGAATAATTTTGGCAGCAGAAAAATTAAAAGTGTGATTTTCAGACCATCAATGTTGGGCAACAGAAGACTTCTGTGTTTCCTTTTTTCTAACATATGCCTCACGTTCCTTGATGCGAAATTTTAAGGCTCTCTTAGTCTGGCCAATGTAAATTAAATCACACTGGGAAGGAATCCTATAAATACCCCAGGAATTCATATCCCGAATGGGGTCCTTGAGTATGGAACTCGGAATTTTATTGATGGGAAAATAAACGACCCGAAAATTAAATTTCTGCAAAATATGTGCCACTTTATAGCTAGAGTGTGCCTTTTAGTGTGTTGAGATGAGGATTTTTTAACTGCTTGATTAATAATGTTGGGTGAAAAGCCCCTGCCAATAGCTATTGCTTTTAAATAATTTAGTTCTTCATCAAGAGATAGTTTGGAGAAGAAAACTTGAAGAGCACAGAAAACATAGGACTAAAGTGAAACTAACTTTTGTTTATTCGGATGACATGATTTAAAGTGTGGTGGAGAGCAAACCGATGAAGGTTTACGGTAAACCATAGTACTGAAGTTCGATGTGTTATATGTGACCAGAATGTCGAGAAACGGAAGAGAATTGCAAGTCTCAAGTTCAAAAGTGAACTGAATAGCAGGATCAATGGAATTCATTGTTGAAAGAACTTTATTTAAATAATCTTTATTACCTTCAAACAGGATAAAAGTATCGTCTACGTAGCGGAACCATACCGGGAAGTTTAAAGTTTCAAACAGTTTTGTTCCATAATAATGCATGTAGATATCAGCCAGGATGGGACTGAGGGGGCTTCCCATGGCTAATCCCTCAGTTTGCTTGTAATATTTATTTTGGAAAACAAAATGTGTTTGTTTCAAACAGAGTGAGAGAAATTAGCTCATCAATTTCGATGCAAGAGAAATGAAATTTGCGAAGTCTTGTTTCTAGACATCTTAATGCACCCTCCATATTGGTGAATAATGATTTTACATCAAAAGAAACCATGAGTAAATTTTCTGGGAGGAATGTTTTTAACCTTTTTTACAAACTCTATTGAATTTTTTATGGTGTAAATGTTATTGTCTAATAGAGTTGAAAATCTAGAAACTAAATATTTAGCTAATGGATACGAGGCAGTACCTAAATTTGATACAATAGGGCGGAAAGGAATACCACTTTTATGAATATTGGGAAGAGCATATAATCTGACACAATTCGCAACAGATGAGATAAGCAAATGTTTTAAGTTGCTTGAAATGATTTGTGAAGATCTGATCACAGTTTTTGTCGTGTTCCTTGTCGCAGTTTTTGTCTTTCCAGTCATGTTTCAAGAATTCTGTTAAACTGCAAACTTGCCTTACTTTGGTCCATCATAAGGGATACACGTCAACAATTGTCCAAAATTGAACATGAGCACTATAAGCTTCATTTGGAACTCACTAATTCATATCCAAAATTCACTGCCCTTGAACAAAAGTCTTGGTATAGAATGGAGAATGCAGTTAACCGTCATAAAAACACCCTTGCAGTTAATTTTTGAAAAATTTCTTTTACAGTCTTCCAGTTCAAGTAGTTCAAAAAACTCTTCCCATTGTAAACATTACGCCAATATTTAATATTTCTAATGTTAGTTTATCAGAAAAACAAGAGGGAATTCTAAAAATATAATTTTAACTTCTCACAAACCTGTAAACCAATTCGATTCCAAAGATTGTGGGTCCTATCGAAAAAGCTTTCAAGTTCAGTAAAGTTTCAGATTCACAGAAAGACATGATTAGGCATCTTATCGCTCATAATGTGAAATTCAATAATAAGCCTTTGAAACCAAATCTAACTGAAAGAGAAAAGTGGAATACAGAAAATGAGCCAAAGATAAGGCCAAACAGAGAAAACAAATTTCAGCTAAGATGAAAAAATAACTTCCTGGAAGAAGTAAACCGTCAGATCCTGCCGCAATTCCGATTGTGTCTGAGATTCTAGAGGGTATTAATACTTTCTTGCAATTTGCACGACCAAACATGACTGTATATATCATCCCCAAACAATCTACAAAGTCAGCATTTTGAAAGAATAAACTTCTTCATCGACATCTAACGAATAGCTGGAGGACATGAAACCATGATATAAAGATCTCTTCATTTAGATGGGAGCAGGCAGCAGAAAGACGAAAAACTAAAAATTTTTGATTTGTTGGATGCATGCAATTGGCTGGTCATAAAAAAAAACGAACGGTCACCAACAATCCTTCTTAAGCAGTCAATCAGTATTATTGGCCGGTAAACATCCGGAAAAACGTAAACCTCAATCCCATTGAACATCATGGCAGACATTTGACATGTTATACAGAACATTAGTAAATAATAAAAAGTGTAGATCTTGGTTTACATATTCTAAAAACAAGAATGCAATTTTTTGTACACCCTGCAAGATTTATCAGAAACATGGTGCTGGCGTTACACCATACAGCAGGATTCATTAATTGGAAAAAAGTTTTAGCAAGATTAACTGAGCGCGAAGCCTCTAAAATCCACAGAGGTGCATAATTAAGTGGAAAATTCGAGTACAACAAATGAAATCGTGCCAAGGCATTGATCACGACGCTGAGCGACTCATTCATACAGAGAAAGAAAAATTCTATATAATCATAGATGCGGTACTATATCTTTCAACAATCTGTCGTTCTTTTCTTGGGTCTGATGAAATCCCAAGTAGCCTGTTCACAAAGTGTCCTCGACCTAGTGAAGGAAATTTTCCGAATTTAATCTCTCCTCTTGCCAAACATAATTCAACTCTTAAGTACAAGCACCTAACAAAGAGAAAGAAATCATATTTATCCCATATGTGTCTCATACAGAAAAAAATGAGCCAGGTGATTCAATACATAAAAACGTGTGGTGATTGTGTGAGATAAAGGAAAATTTAATTGATTTCATAGAAGTTGGTGGAAAGATAGGAGAATGTATTTCTGAACGCATTGTAGAAAACTAGTGTCTGAATTGACACTTGATGGTTTAGATATTGGACAATGTCGGTGTCAGTCTTACGACAACGGGTCTAATATGCCTGGCATTTCTAAAACAGTACAAGCTAAAATTACAGAAATGAATAAGCTGGATGAATTTGTGCCATGTTTGGCTCACTTCTCGTATTTTGTCAGTATGCATTCTGCTTCGTAGTGCCCGGAAGCAGTTAATCTGTTAGGAATTACTCAGAAAATACTTCGCTTTTTTGTCGGATGCACTACTCGACAGTATATTATTAAAAAATGTACAAAATACAACTTAAAAGGAAGCAGCCAGACGGAATGGTCGGAAAAATATGTGGCTGTGAAAGTCCTTCTAATAAATTTACCGGAAATATTCAAATATTTAAAAGAAATTAAACATATTTCTCTTGATGTGGAATCAAAGCATGAGGTAGGACATCTGTTATATGCTGTGAAAAATTTGAATTTACCCAACCTGAAAATTTGAGCAAATATTTTTCCAGAATTCAATCGAGTAGATACAGAAATTCAAAAGGAATTCCTCTTCCGCGTTCTGTGTAGTTAACGAAAGAAATGATCAAAACTGAGGAATTATAAAAAATGAGAGAAAAATCTTATGGAACATTGGATACAAGAGTCTAAAACGGTAGCCGAAAAAATTGCATTTGAGTCTATTCTGACAAATAAATAATTCAAAAGCCCAAAAAGCAATCTGATGAACTGTTTGAGGACAAATCACGAACACTTCAACCTTTTCAGATCGAAATTTCAGCAAATTAAAACAGACTAAAAAATATCTACGATTATCGGTGAGCAAGAGCGTTTATCAAGTCTCGCGATTCTGACAACCGAAAATCTAACCGCAGATCAAATTATGATGATTCCATGCACTTATTTGCAGAACAAAAGGCTTACAGTGTAAAATTTAAATTTTCGTTTCTAATTCCGCGATATTTTAATAGTGTTAAGGCAGGTAAGAACTTAAAATTACTTATGAAATAGGAAGTATGAAAAACGAGACAGGAAGCACGAATACCCTCAGTAATAGCCCATATTCTGTATAATCTTTTCAGAATACTTCCTTTCGTCAATAGCCCATATTTTGCATGCAATGGTTCCGTTAGTGGCTGAGCAATAAAAGGGGCTGAGCACTAGTAGTTCGGTCCGAGGGTCAAGTATAGGTGAATGGGTTGGCTGTATGAATATCTCCATGATTTTCCCCATGTGTAACATAGATACAAGCCAGGTTTCCTTACAAAAGTTTTTTCCATTGAATATTCCTCCTTTTCCCTGCAGAGCCTAATGGCGAAACACATAGTAAATAATCAGACAAATGTCCTCAGCAGAGGCCAAGTGATTAAGATCGCAGTATACTGGTAGTTCGACCTTGTTTGGGTTCAAACCCAGGCAAATAGGCTGGCTACATGGTTTGTTTTCGTGGATTTCCTCATGTGTAACGTGAATACAAGCCAGTTTCCTTTAAAAAGTTCCTCCATGAAAGCACCTCTCCTCTAAGTAGATACCAGTCAGTCTCCTTAAAAATTTTTTCCACAAGGCATTCCTCCTTTCCATGCAGTGCCTAATGGCAAAACACATAGTAAATAATCAAACAAATGTCCTGAGCAGTGGCCAAGTGATTTAGACCGCTGAATACTGGTAGTTCGACCTTGTCTGGTGAACAGTGAATTTCCAAACAACACATGAAATCCTTATGAAAATATTTCCTTATTAAATTTTCTTTAAAATAGGCTTCATAATTTAGTTACAAGGAACAGGGTGGATGAATTTCAAGATTATAGTCAATAACACAAAATACCATATGGATTTATACAAAGAACTCACAGGCATTTAAAAATGATCAATCAGATTTATAACTTAAAATTCTAGCGATAAGTTTTAGTTACTGAGAATTAAAAAAAAAAAAAATCAGTTACCTGTCACCAAGATGAAGTTCTTCCACTCTTCCATCTGGATACTCAACTTCAACATGGCCATTAACAATCACAGACCAGGAATCTAATTCTTCGCCATCATTCATAACGACTGTTCCCGCTTTCTCTACTACAGCAAAGACCATTACGGCACACAGCGCTCTCCGTATTGTTAATGTCATATTGGCAAATGCCTAACAGAGATAAACAAATTTGATTTGGGAGGGAAAACATAATTATGCAATCAAATAGTTTTTTAACACAAATTTTCTATGGCTTACTGGCAAATGTTGCATGAACTCTAGTAATACTTCGATATCATCTTCTGTTCGCTCACAAGGGTCTTTCTCTAAACACTCCCTCACTGTGTCCCTGACTGTAAGACTCTAAAATCATAAGAAGTCATCAAGAAAAGCAACTTAAATAAAATAAACACGTTCAGGAGGCTCATAAATAGCAAGATTTTTTTTTTTAATTCAAAAAAATTTTTTTTTCAGAAATCAGAAATAAACATTTATGTAAATCATTCTAATTATATGTAGTAGTCCTTCAAAGAAGAGAACCTAACACACTAGAATACAATATATAACTAGTCCATTTCCTTACATTCTTACAGGACACTGCTTGGTACTAAAATGTTCTTTCATTACATATTTAAAAAACTACGCTAAAGCCATATAAATTTTATCTTAGTTACCATTTTGCTTATATTAATTAAAAATTCTCATTCTAAATACACAGGTTCAATTTTCTCTGTGTTTATAATAATCCCTACATTAAACGTAATTTTTTATTAGAATTTTAAGCAATTTAAAAGTGAATATAAAAATGCCTCCATTACTTAAATTCTAACTAAAACTGAAGTAGGAATCTTATTATAAATTAACTAACAAAATTTGGTATGTGTCTATCACCTGGGTGTTAAATAATTTCATGATCCTTATGAGCAAAGGTTGCATATTATCCTACCAACCATGAAATTTGGCTGCCATCAAACCATAAAAAGTGGCAGAGATGCTGCCAAAGTTGCATCAATTGTTCCTGTGGAATTCTGAAGAAAATTACACCTCTTTACTTAATAAACAATCAGTACTCAATCTGCTTTGTTTTTTGCATTTCTTTAGATTTTATCAATTTCCTCTACTTTGTTAGGCCCCCTAGTTTTACCAGAAATTCTGTTTAGAAGATTATGAGTACAAGATCCCATCGGTTTCAATCTATCATTGTTTTGTCAGCCATATTCAGCAGATCACATACATACATATTACTACACATACTTATACAGCAGACCATTACTACTCTATACATTGTGTCCATATACCTATTTACATAACGGGATTTGCACAGCATTGAAAATAATCCTCTGCATGCTGTTTTATAGAAAGCTGACTAAAAATTTTTTATATGTTACTTATACCCTAGATCAGGGTTTCTTTTTCAGTTGCGACCCCTTTTTATCAAAGAGATTCTTTCGCGACCCTCAGGACCCCATAATATTTACAAAAATTTTGTGGGACCTTATAAGTATTGCACAAATCTGCCACACGCATGAGTGAAAATGAATATTATAAAAAGAATGTGCTGAAACATTTTTGTTTTTTCTTTGTCTGTATTGTCTTATGTTTATCTATTTTCAGATACATTATGTAAAAATATTTGATAATTATAAAATTATTATAATAAACTAAAGGAAATATCAAACCTGCTATAATTTTTGGTGACCCCCTGCTGCAGATTCACGACCCACAGTTGAAGAAACCCTGCCCTAGATGATAAAAATAAATGGTAGCCAATTCAGAATCAATTGGAGTTACATAAAAGAAAAGTGTAGATGTTACGAGTGTGTTGTTACATCCAGCTTAGCCATAACTCGTGCTAAATCATACTACTCAGCCACAGTTTCATGGTCGATGAGCTAATATTTAAGTACTGAAAAATCATTTCATCATATGAAACAAGAAGTTTTGTAAATTCTCCAACTAAACACTAAGAAAAAAAAAAAAGAATTGTGCTAAATACAGTACAAAGTCCGTAATCCGGACTCGTCAGGACTTCAGCGAATCCGGATTAAGGGTTTTCACGGATTATAGATCATCAATTTAAATCTGGTAAGATGAAATACAGATATTATACAATTAAAAATATGAAACCGTAATTTATGAAATAAATAGCAATTATGATCTAAAGAGTATCAAAATTTACAAAAAAAAGCTTAATATTTATTTGTTTACTTTATTAAACATTTCTTTCAATGTAAGTTGTTTAAGTTGCTTCATTTTTTGTGCTAAACACATTACGTGCATGCGCAAAAGCATACAAAAAAAAAGTTTGCGGCTTTGAGATCCGGATTATAAATCATTCCGGATAATGGACGTCCGGATTACAGACTTTGTACTGTATTAATAATCTTCAGTTTAATAAGTAGCTTTCCCATCTAATATTTTGCATAAATTTGAAAAGTACAGCCTAAAACATCATTAAAAAGATTTTCAAAAATACACATCTTAAACAAAACTATCCCTAACAAAAAATTCATAAGTATATAAATGAAAACTTAAAAATTTAATACCAGAATTTGATACATTGACATTCTTACATTTAAGGACTCGGCTAGGTCCTCCTCTTCATCAGAATCAACAATGCTTTCAATAAGTCCAGACAAATCCACCTCCTGATCTTCCAGTGAAGAATGAACTGACTGCATTGTGTCTGACCCCGAATATGCAGAGGAAGAATCGCTGCTGTGAGAATTGCGATTGGAACTCTTAAGCAATGCTTCCCCACGATGGAGCATTGAGGGGAACTCCAGAGGAAGCTAGACAAAAAAAGTCAGTAACTTTGAGATATAATTATTATTATTATAAGGGCACAGCCCCGATCTTCCTAGCCAGCACAAGCCAGCCGTATGATCAAAAAATGGGACTGGCCAGAAAAAAACAAATATAAGAAAAAATATATAAAGCCCAAAATCTGCGTCTCAGTGCCGAATTCCAATTCTATCTTTGTTCGTATTTATAATCTTCATCATTATCTTTGCAAAATTTTTCAAATTTGAATAGTTCCTTTTAAAACCTTCCTTAAAATTCTTTCTATATTTCTCTCTTGCACTCCGGGTAAGCATACATTTATCGACAAAGTGCCTGGCATCCCCAAACTTTTCACAAATTAAGCATTAAGCATTATTCTGTAGATGGAGCTGATTAAAATAAGCCGGGAAACACCCATGATTAGTAAGTACCTGATTTATATCAACATTATTTATAATATTCATCTTGTTTAACTTTACATTTTTCATTAAGTCTTTTTTCTTATTAGACGACTCCCAGAAAAAATTTCATTCCGTATGAATCCAGTTTTCCATTTCCAGCAATGCTCTTTTTTCTTGAATCTTGGATACCATATATTTATCATAATCTAACCTTTATTACACACTGTAAAATCTCAAAGGCAGGTTGAAAAATTAATACTATTAAAATCTGTGACCATCTGTCTGTTTGTTTGCTTGCAAAATCATCTCCTTTGGAATAATGGGGATTGGAGTTTGGAGAGAGGTACAAAAAATTCTTGAGAAGCCATTTCGACCATTTTCATCTTTGTACAACTTTAATCAACCGTGATGTTAATTAGAAAATCTGAAAACATTAATTTTTTGCTGCTATTCAGCATGCTACGGCAAAGTACATAAGAAGTAGTATTTTTAAATTGCCATCTGTCATTTCTAAACAGAGGTGGAGTAAATTTTTTTATGGAATAGAAGTCATAAATTTTGTTTTGGCTTCAGTTCACTCATCTGATAGGCTTGCTTGCTAATTTTTATTAAAACATGTCCTATTTTAGAAGCAATCAATCTCTGAAGTATGGTTGGTTTCTTGCAGCTCCAAGCCTGCAGAGTTTATCTACACAGATGCAACACTGATTTGATTATTCAGAAATAACTGGTTATGAGTTAAAATTATATAAAAAATGAAGACATACATTGTTTTCAACATCAATCAGTCATACAGGCTGGTTCATCTGCCATATCGGCTGGTATTGTCATACCAGTCTGTCAAATCTATGACCATACATTTTCAGTAGGTGAGAGACCTGAAGAACACTCCAATCAAGACAGCAGGAGAAACCTTGAGTACTGAGGAAACATAGGTCAGCATGGTACCCACACTGTTTTATTGTTTTATGATGAAGGTATGGCCACAAGCATTAAAACATTAGGAATGTAATAGTGGGCTAGTCAAAGTAACAGGTAAAACGACAAGGTGAAGAGGATGTGTAACCAATGGAAGCTCATAGCATCAATTTAGGTGCCAAGCCGATACAACAATGACAAATTCAAGTTTCCAATAGTTGTTCCCCTTGGTGTCCCCACATATACATATGACCATTGTGATGCATTGAAAAATAAAAGATTCATAAGAAAAAGTGTCAAATCACTGATCGATAAACATTGTTGAATGCATGATTGTAGGTGCTGATATCTATGCTGTAGTGCCAAGATATATTTTCCTATACAATACACCTGATTTCTTAGCCCAGGATACCTGATGTGACTAAACTATCTCTAACAGTGAAGTGGATAAGATCACTTAGGGCAGTGGTAAAAGGGATAGTTATTAAGAACCCACATATCACTCTGTGTGGCCTTCCTGGATCCATTACTTCAAATTCCTATAAATGTCTGGAATTCAACAAACATGAGCAGCAATTGTGAGGCATGATTGGATGTAAACAACAAACAAGCCTGGTGCAGTTTAATGTTCTTTAAATTTCACAGAAATACATATCCATTACCATCATCAGTTCTTTTTAAACCATCTAGGTTCTGAATGAGGATATGAGGCTTACCTGTACCAAAATCGTATACAAATTATTCTTTGATTTGGAAATATTGCTTCTGATGGAACAAGTGTTAACCTTTTTTAAATAAATCTATGCTTGACTCAATGAACTACATACTTGTACCATCACAGCATGCATGCATCATCAACATATCTGTATGTAGATTATTTAATAAAGTTTTCAAAGAAAAGAATTTCTTTACGGTAAAATGATTAAAATTCAATGTAGAAGCATATTTATTAATGATAATGAAATAATCTGACAGCAAGCAACCAATTTTAATTCCAAAATGCTTGCGAAGTAAAAATTTCTGAATGAAAACTAGTAAATTTAACAAAAATCATGACTTCAAGAACTGCAGTCCTGTATTCTACTTTTTTTACACTAATGGAAATGAAAAGTAAGCAATTCCTCTTAGAAGAAACCGTTCTACATTAGTGTTTATAACAAGAGAATATTTACATGTCTGGGTTTACTTTTTGAAAATCACCAGAACAACAGGAAGTTGGATAAACATACTTTCCTGAAAAATGAACTAAATGATGGTTAACCATTTTTGAAAAATTTTGCAAAAATAAATGCTCATTGCTAAGACAATAATTACAGGGATTCTTCAAACATTTTGCATGGTTTAACAATAACTTTCAGGCATGCAATTTCATATTTCAAACTCTACGATAAAGAAAGTATGTTATATAAAATAAATATTTAGAACTATATCAGTAAATTACACAATAATCTAAAAATAGTCCAAATCTATTACCTGCAACCGATGGTGGCGATAGTTGTCATCACAACCTTCAGAATGAAATCTTTGCCGAGTATCTAAAGCTATTGTCACTTCTTCCTGTTCTAGAGCCAACAATTTCTCTAAGTTCATAGTTGTACATGACTGCCTCTGCCCAGGTCTCATCAACTGAACATCAGGATAATCAATCTATAAAGGAAAATAAAGGTTAGAAATGAATTAAGGATCATGCCAAAAAAATTATTAGAATTATATAACAATGCCAATTACAGAAACACAAAACAATTATTCTATCAAACAAATGATGCACTAAACACGCTATTAAATAAATCCTTATGCATTATAAATGATTGTTCAGAGTATGAAAATTTTTAAGTTTTTTGTTCATTTTCAACCTTTTAAGCTGCTAAATGCTATTATGTTCTACATTAGACCCCATATGAGATTAGTCCAGAAAGTCCATTTTAGTAACATAGAAATAATTAGGTATTATGTTAAATCTTCACACTTTAGAATGTTAAATTATTATACAGTTCTCAATACAACTGTTGAGGATGTCAATGGATATTTTTTCAGTGAATTGACCCCCCCCCTGGTAACACTTACAAGATTATTCTTGAGCTCATGGCCTCTGAGGCTCCAGTGTATTAAAGTGTTAGATTCAGTACACTGAAGGATCAAGAAGCAATATTCTTCAGTCTCTACCTTATTTTCCAGAACTGGCAACATGATTTCTAGCTATTCATGAAAAGTCTTCTGCGCATAGAAAAAGTTACAAGAAATCAGATAAAATCATCAGGGAGTTGGATAATCAAGGAGAGAGAACAGTTTCCAAGACTTCTGAATACCGAAATTATTTTTCAAAGAAATGCATTAAGAACAGTGGTGATTAGAGTAAACCCTTTCTGCCTGACCACTTCTTAGGGAAAGCAGTATTTCTGATAATATAAACAAACACTGGTTTGGTACATTACCTCTCCAAGATGACGACCTCCACAGAAGACCAGAATCATCAAGAAACATGGACAGTCATCTAAGAGAGGGTTCAACATACCTAGAACTGATTAACTAAGCGGCTAAAGTGCAGAATCGCCCACTTCTTTATTTGGCGCTTTTTACAAGAGTAAGAAGAATTGGATTTTTGTCAATTTTGTTTGATTTTTTAAGTGAAAATAGGTCAATGTGTACATGGATAAAGTCAAGGGAGTGTGCAATGCCATTTTTGTGCAATTCTGGGGCGTTCTTTTAAGTGAAAATAGGTTGATGTGCACATGGATACCGAGTTAGTGCAATTCTTACGCGCCAAGCAGTGGGCGATTCTGCACTTTCCCCAACTAAGCTTTCAAAGGGAAGAAGAAAAATAACGAATTACCAAAATAATTTATGTAAAGCTAACTTTACTTTTGGATCTGGTCGCACATAATCTTTTGGATCTGGCCACCTTTTTCTTCAAATATAATTTGTTTTGTTCAGAAAACATTATATGGCTATAAAATTTATTATAAATAAATAGCTCTTCATATTAATTTAAATAGTTAAAAAAAGAACTGCACATTCAATTTACTTGGTTACAGAATTACGTATCTATAATTTTCTGATATTTAATCAGTGCTCTTTTTTTTTTTTTTTTTTTTTTTTTTTTTTTTTTTTTTTTTAATTTTATTTATTTATTTATGTCTGGAAATAAAATAAACTAAAACACTTGGATGAAAACAATCAGTTTATTGTGCATTCTTTTTAACCAAACTTAATATGGTTCCAAGAACTTTTCTGATATTTAATGTGATCTCTTTCTTTTTTTTTTTTTTTTAATTTATGTCTTAAAACAAACTAAACTAAAACACTTAGATGAAAACAATCAGTTTATTGTGCATTCTTTTCAACCAAACTTAATATGGTTCCAAGAACTTCAAAACCAAACATTCTGCCAATTCCTTCTCCCTCCCACATTTTTTTAATTCAGCTAAACATCCAAATTGTGTCCAAAAAATGAGAATGATTACCAAGAATACAATACACCTAATTTTAGAAAATTCTTGCAATGAAATTAACAATTTTCTGCATAATCAGCAGCTAATTTGCGACACATTTTCCATTATTTTAAAATTCTGAAATCATTCCAGATGGTCTGATGGTGCCTTTTATCATAAAAACAACTGCAATCAAGAAGTACAAATATCATGTGCGAAGAAAAATTTAGTACATAGTCTTCCTACAAATATTCTGCAGCCAATAAACGCACTTAGGTCACTAAAATAAATAATAAATTTTGTTGCAAATAATCACATTTATTTTCGTTACATTTAAATAATGAATTGTCATGCAAAATTAGGAATTTAAACCGAATGACAGTTCTTAAAGTTATAAGAAAACTATCACAGTAAAGATCACTCATTATTTAAAAGTACTTTAAAAACGGTAAGTAAATTTCAACAGCACTTCTTTTTAAGAACACATTTTCGAATTCCTACACTTTAAAAAATCAGATGCACAGCTGTTTTTTAAAGCAACAGACCTATCTAAAGAGGTTAAATAAAATGTGCGGGTCAACTCCGTACAATAGAGTGGGGAATAAGTTGAATTAAGAATTGGGAAAAAAATATTGTACCTACGAAATTCCACAACATTCATGGGAACTGTCATTCGTTGGGCGTTGGGCAATTTTTCTTACGGGAAACGATTCTAACCAGGTGGCGCTCACTTAGTGGCGGTAACTATGGCAACGGATCGTAGCTGTGTGACTCATCCTCCATCATCAATGAAATCAATACCCCAAGCGATGCCAGAAGCTCGAATGATTTTTAGGGTGCGAATTTGCAAAATTTTGGTTCATTTAAAAACAAAAGCGTCAGGAACGAAAGGAAGGTAACTTTCATAGCGCTGTTCATGATAAATAAACTTCATAGAAACACTGCATAAAATACACATGCAAAAAAGGAACGGTGAACTGAAGTTTTTTCAAACTGAAATAAAACTCACATTACGGAGGGGAAATCAACTTTTTCATTACTTAAATGAAAATAAAGCTTATTCATCATCGCTGTGTTAATAAAATTTCAGTGTTCCTATGTGGTATCTTTGAAATTTCTGATATTGAGAGAAGTTATTTTACCATGTCCATCATGAAAAACGTACACATTTCCATAAATATTCATATGTGGAAATAAATTTTCAAAACCAATCAGTTACCTTCACACAGTGCATGCTCATTTTGTTTTCGGTGGAAGAAATGAACAGCAAAAAATAATAATAATAATAATAATAATAATTAATAAATAAATAAATAAATAAATAATATATATATATATATATATATATATTGAAAAGCCAGAAATATATGTTTTCTTTGCACGTATTTAAGCCTTTAACTCCTAATGAATAGAGAGAAGAGGAAAAAATACAATTATATTTTACAATCCAGTTTCTATTTAACGTGACCGACGATAAGCAGAAAAACACAGAAAACCTAAACTGGCAACACAATATGTGGATTAAACTGTTTCTTCCTTTGAAGAATAATTTCCGAGTTATGAAGAAGTATAATCATTCACATTTATTCTTCTCGCTACACTTCTAAAGCAGAAATCACGTGCAAGTCCACGCATTTGTGACAAAGGACATGAATGGCACGTGATTTCCATTCATGTTCTTTGCTTAAGGTGTCAGAGCGCATGCGCCATATAGTAGCTCGTAAAATTTTCTTCTGTTTGAGAAACTTTTCCTTTTCGTAGTTCTTTCATAGATTTCACAGAACTACTGTTCATCCTAAATTAGACTGCCACATAATACAACATTTAATAAACTTTCTAATAATATCATCCATGACAACCTTAATGCAAACTGTTTCGAATCACATGTGCCTAAAAGAGGCACAATGATACCAAAATATCGATTTTAATCATCCGGTAATCAACAATATGTGATAACTGTGATTCATAAACAATTCAAGCGTATCTGCACGTTCTTTTGCATCGTATCGTACAAAAGTAGATTTCTATCCGAAGGCGATACAAACACTTTTTATTTTTCAGTTTCTCTTAAACTTCATAAATCATACTCCTAGGGCTAATACTTGTAGGGCTTCCGATTAAATGCACTTTCGAAGACAATGATAATTTCATTTATAAGATTTATTAGATGCACGATATATTTATTACTTCGGTGGATTCATTTCAATTCGAGTTAGCTTGCACGATACGTATTGCAGTTTCAAGTCGCCTGCATTGCATCCAGGATTGACATTCAAATCAGTGATTTTATCGGACATGAAAGCAAGAAAGAATTATTGCGCTAGATACCAACATATTTAAAAATTAAAACCTAACTTTTTTTTATCAAAGAACTTAAAAGATGGCTTTAAAAACACGTTTCGTTAATTATAATAACTCATCCAATGTTCGTAAAAATTATCAATGAGATGCTTCATAAATAAATGTATCTTAGATTACATTAATTCGATATATTATTTAAAATGTTAAAGAAAGATCGAAATCATTAAGAAATGAGCTTACTGCTCTTAAATAGCTCACGTTTTAAGTAGTCATAGTCCAACAAAATTTGAAAGATAAGGATATGTAAAGGTGAGAGTAATATTGTGTTCTATACACTATCTAGAGTGTTAATGAAATTTCATCTATAGATTATGATGAAATAGCTGATGAACAGATTCAAGATGAAGAACTGAAGAGTTTGCGAACCACTACTTCCTTGAATTTAAAGCAATGTTCTCTTCACCGAATTCACGGTTTATCGCATCCAAGAACAAAATCAACTATAAAGCTAATGACATCAAAATTCATTTGGCCTAACATTAAGAAAGATGTACAATTATGGACGCGAACCTGCATTCCTTGCCAAACAGCTAAAATCAGCCAGCATACAAAAACAAAATTAGGTGAGTTTGAAATACCACCAGGAGGAGTTTCTGCAATCCATATCGATTTCACAGGACCACTCCCCCCCCATCCAAAGGAAATATTTACTACCTTAATTTGCACTGATACATTTTTCGAACTGGATAGAAGCAATTCCTTTAGATAATATTTCAGCTTAGAATATCGTAAGAGCTTCTTATAGCAACTTGATTGAACGTTTCGGAACGCAAGCAAACTCATTAGTGATCATGGATCCCAATTTAAATGTGACACATCATGAGCTTTGTCCGAAATCTGTAGCATCAATTTACAACACACTGCTCCCTACCGCCCATCATCTAATGGCAAAGTTGAGCGCATTCAAAAAACATTAAAAGCTCGCAACAACATATCTTGGACTGACACATTACCAACAGTTCTTTTGGGTTTGCGTACTGCTATTCAAGAAGATGCAAATCATTCTATTGCGAAGTAGTTTACGGCCAAAGTCTCAAACTTCCTGGAGAGTTTTTCAGCGAACCAAGTATCCAGACAGCATCGGAGACTTATTAGAGATGAAAGTCGTCGGACCCAGACACATTCGTAAAAATTCACCTGAATGGATTATTTGTACATAAAGACTTCAACAACTGTTCTCGTGTGTTTCAGCGAATAGATCGCGTGAAAAAAAAAACCTTTGGAACCTCCTAATGAAGGACCATTCCCTGTTATTGATAGCAAAGATAAATATTTTACTATTAGCATAAAAGGAAAACATGTTAATGTATCTCTAGATCTCTTGAAACCAGCTTATATTTTAACTCAGGAAAATTCTCAGTTAACAAAACCTGACAACAGCAAATTGCAGAGACCAGACTCAGATTCAGATAAGGATTAAAAGCACTTTCGCGCAAGTAGAACTATACGTTAACCTGTTAGATTCAATGGATTCAAGGATTGATCTAAGTGCTTCTGACAGCGGTCAGCGCTGCAATACTAGTTACTACCTATTTCTCCACCTTCGTAACATAACTTAGTTACTAGTGAGGGAGTAACTGTGGTGGCTCAGTTATTGCATGAGTAATAACTATTTTTTATTTCAAGTATTTTATATTTTTGCACGTGTTTAACTATTTCGTAAAATTAACTTTAACGTTTTGTTAATATTCATATTTTTTTATGCTGAAAGGCAAAACGGAGTTATTCATATTTATATTTCTTTTACGCTGAATGACATCTCTTGTGATTGTTATTCATGTAGCAGCTTATTTGATAGCTGAAAAATATTAGCAGTAAACTTAGCTATCCGTTAGTGATTCTTGCTGTTCCTAATTATAACTCAGTTTGAATATCAGTAGTCAAGACTACAATATCAAATAGAAATATTAAAACTGTAAATCAAGCAATACGTTTTTGTTAATTTGCAAATTATATGCTCACATAATGTGAAAGCTAAAAAACTCTTGCCGTAACAAAAGCAATAGTTAACAAAAGCAAGTTACAAAAGCAACGGTTATGTAACATAAGCGACAGGTAACATGTGAATTCGCAATTAAACAAAATTGCGAATTCTCATAGTTATTTCACAGCACGCACTATGAAGTCGCACAAAAATAGGAAGACCAGATTATAAATCTCTATTTCTACTCTGTTATTAAATAATGAAGGATCTGTATGTATGGATGAATGTTCCTCGCAGTATGGGAAATCCGTGGTACCTGGAAAGACATTTTGAATATACACAAGAATATCTGTACATCGAGGCCCGCATTTTGGATTTCGAATTTTATTTATTTATTTCATATTTGAACAAATTTTTAAAAAAATGTCATTGACAAACTCATCGATTCGAAAGCGAGCAGTCAAATTTATTTATCGGTTTGGTACTAATTAACAAACTAAGCGACTTGGCAATAAACGCATTTTTTTTTCCTTTTTCCCTTTTTCACTTGATGGATTTAAATAAAAATGCATTTTATTATGAGATTAAATCATGAAATGTCTAATTAAAATATTAAATATTTTTAGGAAATGGCACTGGCTGGACTCATTAAAATTATTACATATTTGTCCTTTTTTATGGTTACTATTTTAGAGAATTACTTTTGTTTCCGCGTTTTCCAAAATTCTTCCTGTTCCCGCGAAATCGGAGAGTACAGTACCCCTCCCACAGCACCTCAGGAGACGTCATGTTGAGTCATTAAGAAGAGCTGGGCAGTTCCTTTGTGAATAAGTTAGTCTTCGTTAGATTGAAGACGTGTCTTAGTCAACGAGATAATGTTATATGAAGTCGTTGGTCTTAGTTTAGGCTCCTCTTGAAATCTGAAGTTTCATTCCATTTGCAATTTTGCTACAATATTAGCTGCATTTTACATCTTATATTAATCAATATGAATGTTTTAGACATTATTGGAACTAAAAGGAAAAAACACTTAGCCTTTTATAAAAGTCATAAGTATCGAATTCAGAATAAAAATAAGGAAAATGTAGTTTATTGGATTTGCATAAATGAAAGAATTAAAAGCTGCAATAGAGTCATTAAGACCAAAGAAGTCGTCGTTTTAAAACGTATTCTGAAAGATTTTTATTATAACTCACCTTTATGCAGAATTTCGGAAGAATTTTTTTTTTTTTTTTTTTTTTTTTTTTTTACTTTAGGAAACAATCTTTTAGTTCATTGTCAAAATCATCGGAGTTTGAACACCTCTCTCTCTCTCTCTCCTTTTAAATACAGTATTATCTTCATTCATGCAAAGATTTGAGATCGTAAATATTTTTCGATTATTTCT